GTCATCTGATTAGTCGGCGTTAAAATTACCGCGATAAAATTGCTTGCGATTATATTACTGCGTTATATATGAACTAACTACCATAATATTAATATCTAATTTGGAATGCGTTCAGAAATGTACTAAAATAGCGTCGATGTAATGTACAGAGCAAGACAATCGTCATTGAAATTTCGAATTAAATTTTTACTGTTTAAGAAACATTGTCAATTTTTTTCTCTGTAGCACAGGGCCCCTGAACGAGGCGGGGCCCCTAGGCAGTTGCCTACAGTACCTAATGGATAAAACGGCCCTTGTCCCTAGGCATAACTTTTGAATTTCTCTCAACTGAGTTGTCATGATTAAAGTGGGGTTGCAACCTGTCATATTTATTTTGAAAATGGGAGAAATTTCCAAAAGTTCAGTTCGATTGAGATTTCTGGCAAGGATTCGAGGGCCCCCTGAGCTTGAGGGCCCCGGGGCACTGCCCCGCCTAGCCCCTTGGTAGCTACGCCACTGCTTTCGCTAGAGGAATGAAAAAAAAAAATTTGCATTTTTTTTTCATTCCTCTTCAATCTAATCAAACCTAACAAAGACAATCAAAGACCAAGTTTACTTTATATTTTGTAGGGCGATTTAATCTTTATACAACAAAATAACACTTTATACAACAATTTATAAACAAAATAATCTTTATACCCCTTCAATCTTTTTATAAAATTTTAAATGTGCTTTGTGAGTAATTATTATTTTTTGGCTTGAAATTTGACTTATTTCTCAACCTACTGCATAGATCTATATTTTTTAATCCCATTGATATTTCTAGACTTTTACTACGTTTTTTTTTTGATACCCTATATGTAAAATTTACATATACAATCAATGTTATTTCATGAAGCAAAGTCCCACTGTGAACTTGTTTTGTCCCGTAAGACAGAATTCCCAGTAGATCACTGAAGTCAAGCCTCACTGGCTGGCTGACGTCAGTGAGCGGCTGGGTGATCAGCTTGAAAAGGGATCTAGGGTCAGTGGTATTGGTCCTTGTTAAACTGTTCCACTGTGAATCGTTTGCCTTTGCACACGTTTTCCGGCAACCAAAGTGGGGGTATCATCCCCTATGCAGAGTATCAAAATTGTAATGGCATGTCTTTGGATTATTTTCAGCGATATTTCCCAGATCCTCGCCAATAGCTCATTGTGCAGCTCTAGTGCAATGTAAATAAAGTACTACATATAAAAATTTTTTTATTTGACAGCTTTCTTTAAAATCAGTTAAAAATTCAATTTGTTACATCTTGTTAAATGTGCAGTGTGTCAAATTAAGTGTGATTTGAAAATTAGCAGATGTGATTAATGAACTATGATTAATCACATCTGATTTATCAACTAAGATTACTTTAAGCTTTTCTCACATTTTGCATAATTTGTCTATTTGAAATATAATTGAAAGTGTTCTTATTTTTTAGAATTCCTCAAGTCTTGGCCCATATGAAAGTTTTAATTTATTCTGAAGATCTCTATCAGAAACTAGAGAAAGGTAACAATGTCTTTCGTTATATTTTGTGATGTTGAAATTCAGTTTTCATAGAAGTCATTGGAAATAAAGTATGTTTCAATTAACGGAATGGAAAATGGGGCACTAGCACAAACCTGATATTCAAAAGGGAATTTATTTTTAATCTTGAACCTCTGAGTGCTTTTTTCAGTTCCAACATATTTAAGCATTTTTAATTAAATATTATACTGTTATTTAAATTTATAATATTTAATTGTCACCTAAACAGAGTGACAACGTTTTTAGGTGACAGATTGAATAGCCACATAAATATGTTAAACAGTGATATAACGTTGCAAGCAGTAATCGTAAGACCGGCTGATGATATATTAAAATTTCAGAATATTTATTAAATTGAATGGAATTTTGGCTTCATAAAGACGCTCAGCATGGATTCATTTTATAAATAAAGATTACATTTCTAACTAATTATCGACAATATATACTAGAAGTGCTTAGTTAATTACGTGAAAGTAATTATTTAAAGTTCTCATTTGTTAGAAAACCTAGTCTACAATTAAAAAATACGATTAAGATCCCTTTAATTCTACTTAACTATTATTTTAGATGTTACATATATATATATATATGCTATAAAATAGTATATTTAATACCAAATAATATATTTAATAAAGTTTTTTATCTACAGAGATGATTGTGCTCCGGAAAAAATCCGGATTTCTGAATTTTTCACTGATTGCGATCTGGAAGTTTCCGGAAATCAATGGTCCAAAAGTTTCAAGAAATCATCGATCACATTAAAATATAAAAAATTAATTTAAAAATATTAGAACTAGAATTTATACTTGGAATGTTTCATTTGTAAATAATTTTTTTCCGGTAGAATAATAAATGTGATTAGAGATAAAGGTGAACTTATAAATAATTATTTATTTAAATTATGCTTCATATATTTTCATTAGAGTTTCATGTTTTGAAAATATCAATGATTTAAATTTATAAAGTCATAAATTTTTTAAAAGGCGTCATTAATGATTTTACTCAAGAAAGTTTCAGGACTTTTGAGTTGGGCTCACAATCACCCCTGTGTCTATTAAATTAGATATTTATTAAGGGTAGTTTAAATGCTTAAAAGTTAAGAAGTGAAAAACAAGGGCATTAGGTAGGTAAAAAGGGATATTTGTACTTTAAAATGCCACGATACACACCTGATAGTCGTATCATTGAAGATTAATTAAATTAAAATTAATTAATTTAAAATAAATTAATTAATTTTAAATTAAAATAAAATGTAGAACAAAATGGTTTACTTATAAAACAACACCTTCTATCCAGAACTTCTATTGAACTCTGTTCTATTTCAAATTTTACCATCACTTTTCATCTCATTCATAATTTGAAGAAACAAAATAACTTCAAGGAATGATCTTTTTATATGTGCTGTTGTTGAACGTCATAGTTGATTTTTTCTTAGATTTATTTCACAAAAAGAATTACACATCTAGAGGCTGTATAATAGTTTCCTGAATAACCTTAATTTTAAATTCTTAATCGGAAAAGTTGAAGGGAAAATTTTCATACTTTAGTTCCACCTTATTGCACAGTCCCCCAAATTAAGTCACTAAATTAGATAAAATTGACTAAATTGGACCAAAGAAGAAACTAAGAAAATAAAATTATAGTGAACTCAAAGTTTTGAGCATAATGAATAAAATAAAGTTGAGATGTCTTTTTTTCTTTTTTGTGAACTTTTTTGTTTCTGCTTTTCTTGCTTTCTTAAACGCTTTTTTTTTCCTGGTACCAATCGCATAATTTTTTCCAGCAATAATGCATAACAATAGATTTCTTCAAAAATATTTCATATTTTCAACTCAAACACCCCTTTATAATATGTATTACTTTATTTATTAGATGTCATAACTGTATGATTTAGAATTTATTACAAAAACTAAAAGTTTTGCAACATTTGCTTAAATAATGGTAAAAAGCTCTGACCTCAATCTAAAGAATTTTCATCATAGAAAATTTTTCAACTGGAGCTATTCAATTTTGTTACAAAGAGACTCTATTGTTTATATTACAAACTGAATTCTACATATAAAGTACAGTGCATTTTATTTATAACGTGATTATTAAAATAACTCAAACTTCAATAGGAATAGAAATGAAAAATGGAGATAGTGAGGAAGTTGAAATCAGAGGCTGCACTATTTGGGCTGTTGAGGTAATATTTTCTTTTTCAAAGGAATTTCCAATTAATGTTGATATATTTGAGTTTTTGTCAATAAATTTCATTGTACATACTTTTAACATTGCTACAGCAAAACGGTTTTTATTTCTCGTATGCAGTTATGCATAGCAGTTATTATTGTTTTTGAAAGTTGTGAATATGGATACATAAAATATTAATTAGATTTATTTTTCTCTACTTCTATTTCTTTTTTCTTCTGCTCAAAATTTTTTTTTTTTTTGAAAAGAAAGTTACAGAAAAAAAATCGGCTTTCTAGATCCATAATAAATGCTGTTTTTTTATAATTTAATATTAAATCAGTTATTCTTGTGTAATAAAAATACCATATTATCTTAAAATATTAGAGGCTAAGTCTATGCATAATATTTTGCAACTAAACAAAATTATGTTTTGTGCACATTGTCTTCTTTAATAAAATCAACTTTCTTAACAGAAAAATTTATTTTAATTTCCATTTCTTATAGTATATATATAAATTTAAATTTTGTAATTTTTAAATAAATAGTTGAACTAGTTTGATCAACAGTTTGTTGATCAAAGCTGAATATTTTGTGTCTTTATTTTTCAAATAAAAATGTTAAAAAAACAACTTATTGTTTTTAATGCCGAGTTTTTTAGGAATTTCAGGAATAAATAATTGCAATATATGCGAACCTGGGATAACTCAGGGTAATTAGAAAAGCAGTTGAGGAACCTCTGCCCTCACCACCTTCGATTATTGGTTAAATTTTTGATTTGGGTTTTCTTGATTTTTTTTTTTCGCATTTGTTTTCTACCTTTCTAAAAAATCGTGAGAAATGAAAGTTTCGCTTTATTAGATAAAGAAATGTAGCACTTGATAATTTATGAAACTTTTATTCATTTTTCCTCAAAATATTAAAGTAATAAAGTTATGTGAGTTTTGGTTTTGACTAAGTGATTTAAAACTACACATTTCTCAGTTTTTTTATTTTTTAAAATTTAATTTTATTACACTTTAATTTGATGAAAATCTGTTTGGATTACTCTAAAATATTCTTTTAACATTAATTGCACAAAAACAATGATAATAAGCTATGCATTTTTCCTCAAAATATTAAAGTAATAAAGTTATGTGACTTGTGGTTTTGAGTAAATGATTTAAAACTACTCATTTGTTAGTTTCTTTATTTTTTAAAATTTAATTTTATTACACTTTAATTTAATGATAATCTGTTTGAATGACTCTAAAAAATTCTTTTAACGTTAACTGCACAAAAACAATGATACTAAACAATGCATTTTTCCTCAAAATATTAAAGTAATTAAATTATGTAACTTGCGGTTTTGAGTAAATGATTTAAAATCACTCATTTGTCAGTTTTTTTTTAAATTTAATTTTATTACACTTTAATTTGATGAAAATCTATTTGGATGACTTTAAAAAATTCTTTTAACTTTAATTGCACGAAAACAATGATACTTATCGAAAATCTAAAAACAGACCTTTCAAAACCTGCAGAATTGTGTTGAGATAATTTTGTTTGAAAACATTTATATATATAGAAAATTTAAAATACTGCCCATTTTATATCTGAATTTCTGATTGGATGGCAAGCTTTTAATTTACGTATACTGACTTGAGTTAAATTTCACTATTGTTTTTTTTTGTTGCTAAAATTAAGTAAAGAGGATTAAAAGCATATTTAGAATTTTCGTTGTCTCCTCCACACTTTCGATGGGTGAGTTCGGTTAAGCAGAAAAAGTCATTTGAAACAATTATTTCCATTCAAAATTAAAAACAAAATTATTATTTTATTTTTCAGCTTATCCTTCAGAGAATAAAAAAGTTGGAAGTTGAAGGAAAAGATATTCTCTTCAATTCTATATTGATTGATCACTACTTGTGGGAACACAGACGGAAACATGCTGAAGAAATGAGTTCAACTCCATTTCACAGAGTTCGATGCATCTATTACTGACTGTATTATAATTAAAGATTGTACCAAAAATTTCAGTTGATGAGCACACATATATTTTGAATCACGTAATGAAAAAATTATTATTCTCCAAAAAAAGATATTTGATATTTTTATACCTTAATTTTTTGTTTAATTAAATTTGTTTACAACTATGCAGTTTCATTAAATTTACATTGTATAAAATAAAATAAAAGATTATAAATACCTGAATGTCTCTTCATTGTGCTTGTTTTGTACTATAATTTTAATTAATTTCTGTTAAGTTTAAGATAGGGCGCACCTAAATCTATGTACGTCGCTGCTCTTATGCAGCTAAAAATTGTATTTGAGTTGAAAACAAAGCTGTTTTCATCTAAAACTTTAGAATTGCGAATAAATTACTGCAATATCTCGAAGTAATGAAATAGGTTGAACTAAATTAGCCGATTTTAGCTGATTTCGTTATGTAGCGAAAAGTAGTTACCTAAATGCTAATATCTCATAACACTCGCAACAATGTATGCATTTCAATAATTTTTTGCTGATTCAAAAGATCATTAGTTTTATTGTGCTACAATTCTTTTTTAAAAAAAATAGTTTTCACGTATCAGTTCTTAATAGTTGAAATGCACCTCTCACTGGAAAATTTATTACAAAAATTTTTGTTTCAGGAAATTTAAATATTGATTGAGTAAAAACAAAGAGCGTTTTAAAATTTTTTGGGTTAAAATAATTTAAGCAACATTTGAAACTGTTTAGACAGTCTAAGTTTGAGAAAAAAAATAAAATTCATTTTTGGAAGGAGATGGATCCTGCCATATATTTTATTGATAATAATTAAACTAAGGACTAACAAAACTAATTTAAGTTTCTTACAACAAATTCTAAAATAAACTATGTCAACTACAAAGTAAGTGCTTATTAAAGATTGTTTAAAATTTCTTATAAATTTTGTAAATTAAGTTACTAAGCAAAATTAATAACGCTTTATTAATATTTCCAAACATTTGACGACATTTCATCCTTACAAGGGGCCCCTAATTCAAGTGCCCCCTTGGGACTCAAACTATCAGTCCGACCCTGACTATACACTATTTGAAGTCATTTTTATGCATATTTGTTATGTTCTAAAACGTGTTAATTTATATTCTGAAAGATATATTTTCACCTTTAGAAAGATATATTAAAGACTTTTTCAGTTAGCGAAATAGCAAAGTTAAATAACCTTATAGTCAAACTATCTTGTTCAATACCAAAGCAATCCACTTATCAGACGTGGATAAGAATTGACATTTTCCTTTTTACATAAACTCCAACTCTTTTTGATTTGAACTTGAAATAGTTAAGAAACTGTAATAAGTTTTTATTTCTATTATAAGTATATATAAGTCTATTTAGTTTTTATTTCTCTGATAAACTATAAAAATAGTATACTATTTGAATAGCTTTGCCCCTGTGGCAGAATTTTTTTGGGCTTTCTGCAACAAACTTCCCTATCTCTAATATACATTTTGCCTTAAGATACTTTTAATTATAACAATTACTAATTTAAAATAACAGAAATGTTGTGTTTACAGAAGAAATTATAGTATAAAAAATTTTAATTGTAAAAATGTTTCTTTTAATTCTAATAAAATAGGCGATATTCTCACATTTTATAAGCGGAAAAATGCACTAATTATTTCCTCATCACGCGAATAGGACTCCTTGAAAAAGAGATACTCGAATAAGTGTATGTAAAATATGGTGCTCTTAAAAGAAAAAAATAATGAAAGAAAGATCATCATTTCTAGAGCAAACTATCCTTTAAACTTTCGCGATTTCCGATTTTTTAAAATTTTATATGTAATATAAAATTTTAAAAAATCGGAATTTGAAATTCTAGTTGAAGCCAGTCATTACCGATTTTTAAAAAAATCTCAAATGTGAATAGAAAAATCATGTTTATTTCTTTCTTCTCTGATGCACAAAGACATTGATGAAAAAAATTCTGCAAAAAAAAAAAATCGCAAAGTTACGCAGAAAGAAAAACCAAAATTTTTCCCTTCCCAAATTAAAAATCTTGATGCAAAAACTGTGTAACATTCTGCGACAATGCCGCCGTGATTCTGCCACGGGGTCCATAAGAATACCAAAAATGATGCTAAAATAATTACTAAGATAAGTTTTGGCAACTTCTGAGAAATGACTGGAGAGAAACTAAAAAAACAATTTCAGAAAGGACCAACTCGAAGGGATAGAACTTGTAGGCATACCAGGACCAAACTCAACATATTTTTTTTGTAACTTTTACAAGTTTAAACATCATTTGACACTATGGCAATTGTAGGCACCAACCAATGAATGGTTGTCTGAATGTGAACAATAACAAGCTTTCTAAAACTGGAAGAAATTTAGAAAACTTCCAGTGTAATCCTCTGTACATTTTGCTTATGAGGCAATGCGTGGACAGGCTTAAAATTTTAGAAGTTTTATAATTGTGATTTGAATTTTTGCATACTTTTACCATTCATAAGAGTTTTCTGTAATTTATAAATTCTAACAGGTCGTGAGCTTAAAGCAAATTTAAGAAAGTTAATATTACAACATAAATTAAGTGTAAGGTTTTAAATTTTATCTCTTATTTGGGTAAAATAGAACCATTTGTTATTTTTTTGGTATACATCATAATAAGCTTGCAGTCTCCCAAATTGGTTTGCTGTCTGTTTCATTGAAAAAATCTGTTAAATTGAGCACACAACTTTTATAATAATGTTGGATGACACATTTTTTCAAGCTTAGGCGAAAAAATCAATTAGAAGCAGTAACCCGGAAATCTTGTGTCGAATTTTAACACCCAGCGCCATCTGTGCTTATCTTTACAAGATCAACCATCCGTACAGAGATATCTCAAAGTTCACTCTAAGTGGTGAATTTTTTTGAATTTTTCTTACTAGCAATTGCTCGCTTTACTCAAAAACTTGGGGATTAATTTAAAGCAGTCACTGATCCAAAAAATTTCCCTTGAAAATTTAACAACATAATTAAAAAGAAGAAGATATATATCAAATCATAGATGGTCTGGATATGTGACAATGTTTTTCATTTCTTACATTAAGAGTATATAATGAAAAGAATATAAAATAATTCACCACAACTACAGTATTTATCTTTTTATTAAGAAACAACATTTTTATTGCAAACTGTGCAGTAGATTCTCTACATTGCAATTCCTTATTCCTTCCAATTAGGATAATATTCTTTATAATCATATTCTCTAAATGGAACTTCATGAGTCAAAAGACCATAGAACTTAGCTTTCACCACAGCCACTTCTAACTGCAAAAGTCTTTTTTGGCAAATATGAGTTTTACGAGAATCTATTATCTCACCAGTTTGTGGGTGGATAAATTGTTTCAAAAGATCGACGTTGGTGTAATCAAGAACAAGATATTCATCTCTACATATGGGGCATGGGTTGCCAGTTGCTAAAACACCGCCCCTTATACAAGTTTTACGCGTTTTTCTGGGAGTAAATGGGCCTTTGAAATTTCGACGATACTTAACCCAAACAGGCTCATCTCCGTATGTTTCTTTGTAGGCAGAACTTTTTAAATATCGAATACTAGTCTCTGGCGAAATTTTTTTTGTTCTGTCCTTCGCTGGATCAATTGCAGGCTTCTTATCATCAGACTCTTCCACAGGTTCTGATTCGGAAAAATTTGCAGATGTTGTTGTAAAGTATCTTTCAGAATATTTAGAGTGTTGTAGAAGCTCGTACGTTAAAGTTTTTTGATGTGCATAGCTATTTGATAACAGGGGCTGGCAATAATATGTATGGGAAAGTCTTGCTAAGTTACGAACACTTTCAATATTTCGTAATAAAGAATTGGTTCGGTTTAAAAGTGTTTTAAACATTTTGAAAGTAAAAATATGCACTTAAAACTTTACAAAAGTTTGTTTATTTATCAATCGAACTCTGCGATAGAGCAATGTCAACTGCCAATTTCTGTCCAATTTCAGACTAAATAATTCTCATAAATTAAAACTTTCTTCAATATATCTCAAAATGAGAATCCTGAGCGATTTTTAATAAATTTTTATATCATATGTTAGCAATTTAAATTCATAATTTTCCATTATTAATCTGCAAAATGCCCCGGAAGTCATCTCATATGAAATTATTTCCTTTACAACTCAACTCGAATATTTTATATTCGAAATTTCAGTTTTCATTTTGTTTTAATGTTTATTTGGAAATCAGCTGCGTTTCTTGTTATATTCTTCTACAAACTGAATATTTTTGTTTAGTAATTTATATAAAATTTGTGAATTTTGAATCATAATTCTTTATTTTATTAATTTATGGATCTAGATGCTGATAAGTTTTTAAGGAGAGCATTCAAACGAATCGATGATGCCAAGATCAGAGCAAGGCCAGGTTGTCTTTTGTATTTTAGCGTTATTGCGCAACATTGCTTGTTAAATTGTTTGATCATTGTTTTAATTATATAATTTATTTTTTATGTTGTTTTTATAGTTAAGTGTTATTATTTTATTTTCATGCAAACGTTCCATTGAAGCTCTTCCTGTCATTACACCGGTCAGTGACCGATAGTTGAAAATAAGTGTTGTTAAGAACGTATACTTTATTTAACTAAACATAATTTTTTCTATAGTTTGTTATTCATTTAGCGTGACTATCAATAAAATTTCGACTCATTAAAAAATTCATACGTGTTTTTCAAAAGTTCTTCATTTATGGAACTATTTCAAATTTAAAAAGTTTAGAAAAATTTTTCTAGAAATTTATATGTTGATTTTAGTTTAAACCCACGAGCGTACTAACTTGGCTAACGAGAATTTCTTTTTGAAATTTTGAATTATTACAAAGTTTATATGTTAAAATTATTTTTAAAATTGTTTAATTGTGCTAAATTTAAGTTTTAATTTTTTATGTTTTTGAAATATTCTTAATTTTGACTAAACAACATACATCCTGCCAATATATTGGCTTTAAAATGGTGCATAATCAGCAGACAAGATAAACTGTTTGAGTTGGCAGGGGTCTGTGTAGAAGAAATTTACCTACCCTTCACAAATATCTTTTCATAAAAAGGGACCCTTCACAAAATAATTGATTTTTTAATGGGACCTTGCACAAATTTGTTTATCTTCATTATTGTTTTGTTAAACAAATAAACTCATCCCGGAGGGGAAGGGGACAAACTAAGTTTAAGTTTCCCTAAGTTCAGATTCCAAATGTCGTATTCTAAGAAAATATTTCGACTTTAACAAACATCGTGTGCACATTCTTATTAATATTTAAAAAAAAAATATTTTAAATAAGTAATTGATCAATTTATATTTATTCATAAAATTAATTAGTAATATGTAAATGAAAATTATTTTCTGGCAATTTTTTAAATAAAATAAAAATATTATAAATTTAAGAATTGTTTAAGTTTACTTAATGCGTAACACATTAAAAGTGATACATTACCAGGGGTCTGTCCGGGCCTCATTTATTACCGTTTAGCGGTAATAAATTTGGCGGACCTTCACAAATTCTACTTTAGGAAAAACGGTAGTTTCACAAAATAAATTTTCTTAAAATTTTCTTTTTGTATCTCGTTGGAAACGATAAATCCATATTTTTGTCTTGGTTTTTTAATATAATTTTTAATTTTCACAAATTATGTCTAAATTTTCACAAAATAGGTACCTCTCAGAAAAACCTAAAGAGACCCCTGATTACTAAGTTGTATTATATGTCAGTTGAAATTATTAAAAATGTGAGTTATTTTGTTTCCATTATTCGTCCGAAATGAATATTCTGTGTTGAGCGGAATAGGCTAAATACCAAGTAACAGGACCCTATTTGCACAAATTCACAAAAGCAGGACCCTGGTTGAAAGAATGTGACTTTACGCTTATTTTATATTCACAAATTATGAATAGTTTTTTCGCAATTTTACATAAACTGGACCATTCACAAAATGTTTGGACAGACCCCTGGTTGGTGCAATTCAAAAAATCAGACTATGATTAAAATTTAAATACTGTGAAAAAGTTGTTTAGGGGAGATTTCTGTGTCGTGATCTGTGAAAGAATAATTGACAAGTCTTGGCAGTGACCCTCAAGAATCTTAAAAAAAAAGAAAAAAACAATCACAAAAAGGGACCAACATGAAAGGTATAACTTGTGACCAACCCTGGTTAAATAGTTTTTTATTTTTTCCTGTTTTAAATCAATTTAGAACCTGCTTAAAACCAATTTAATTAGTTAGGGGTGGCAGATCACAACATGGAAATATCCCAATCCTGTATCTGGCATTGCCTATATTTCGGCAAGTCTATAAAATAATTTTTTCTGAGTAACAATTATAATTTATTGGTACCAACAAGTTTCTGATGCATATAATATAATAGAAAATAAAAAATTTTCTGTGTATAAAAAAGCATAAAAACTTCTCAAAACATAAAAACAAATTTTTACTTGTATGACTGTATAAGTTCTTAGGGCATCATTATCTTACTGGATATTTTAAGGGTGCTTAAGTTGTCACCACTTCATGCACCACATTATTAGCCATATTCATCAATGATCCAATCAATTTACAATTAACAACCAGTTGATATCAAGCATAGTATTGATGTTTATAGATGTCATCCTGTGTCTTTTTGCCAAATTAACACATTATTTGTGGTGAGATTTAAGTATTGTGATCTATGGCAGAGTAATTGTCAAGTCTTCGCAACTTCCAGGCAGGAACCAGCGAGAAACTGGAAAAAAAGGGGGAAAAAATGACAAAAAGATAATCAAACTTAAAGGGTATAACTCGTAGCTATCCACAGGCAACATCTTGTTTTTTTGTAAAATTTTTTCCATTTAAAATCAATTTGGCGCCTTTGCGATCGTAGTTGGCGTAGCAGATCACTTTACAGAAATATCCTTTTATTTGTGATGATCCATATACTATATTTAAAAATAAGTGCACGTTGATTTGCTGCTAATTTAAATTTAAATTCTTGATCGAAAAAAAAAATTACAAGTGAATTAAAAACTACAACATATGTGTAATTAATTTTTTTTTCTAATTTGTAATAAATTGAAACTGATTTGTCTATTGATGCTGCAATGGTTTTAGAATTTGTATGGGTTCTGAAATGCTAAAAAAAATTCTAAATTTTACTATTTCTTGAGCTCATTAAATATTTTATATTTTTGAATTTTTAACTAAGATGAAAATGATATCTCCATTTAAAATTCAACCCTAATTTTATAGTCAATATTTAGGAAGGGTGGATATGGATGTGTAATTTCAAATTATCTTCTAATTTATTCAATTCTTATGTCAGATTTAGAGATTGAATTTAATTAATTATCTTTATATCCTTTAAACTTTTCAGAAATGTTGTATATCTTATAGAAAACATTTTGCAGTACTGCAAAATGTTTTTTTATGCGTTGAAAATATAATGCTCAAATGTGTTAAGTTTGAATTTTTATCCCATTATGGTTTTTTGCTAGAGTCTACACAGCGTGTTTTATAAATATTCTCAAATTTAAATCTATATATATNCTTTAATGAAAGATTCTGCGTGTCTTCGTATTTATGTACAGTATGTTAATTTTTTTTAAAAGTAAAACTAATATAATTTAAAAATGTATAATTTTGTTTTTCAGAATTAAACGATAAAGAAGGGAATGGATGGACTAAATTAAATTATGCAGAAAAGTTTGAACTTGATTTAAATGCTGTAAGAGCTAAAGATAATGTTGAACGAATTCATGTGAAAGATGTATCCCCGGATGTATTTATTGAAAAATATGAGAAAATATACAAGCCCGTTGTCATTACTGGAAGCACAGACGAATGGAAGGCTCGATACAAATGGAATTTACCTGTAAATGTTTATAAATTTTGTTAAATTTCATTGTATTATTGTTACTTTTAAAATTTCAGTAGAATATGAAATAATGTTATATTCATATTTATCTATTTTTTTACCCTATGCATAGTATTGTTTTAGTTGGTACAAAAGAAGCATGTTTATTTACAATTATAAAATTAGCTTAATTGTTTCACAAAATTTTTAGTGACTTTTTATTATGTTTTAAAAACAAATTGAACACGTTTGATTAGTGTGTTGTAAATATGTTTAGCTTAATATATTATTATTAAAAATTTAATTTTAAAATATATATATATTTTTTTGCATGTGCCAAATAAAATACTGTAATGCCACAACTGGTTAAGGTACTGGGCTGCCATTGCATGGTAGCCAGGTTCTATCTAGCTTGAAGCAAACGCACCTTCACATTGATGGGTGTTAGCTTGCTGAGGTGTAATGCTGACCACATTGCTACCTCCATGTCTTTGACCCCCATGTTCAAAGTTATCCAAAACCCCTGTGGCAGAATTTTTTTGGGCTTTCTATGACATATCTCTCTAATAATATCTTCCTGCGAGAAACTTATATAAAAAAAAAGCAAATATACATGTTACTAATAACAGAAGTGTCAACTTAAAAACAAAAAAATTGTTTTAAATAAAATAATTATTTTAACTGAATATGAAATTTTCTTTTAATTCTAATATTATGGGTGGTATCCTTGCATTTTGTAGGGGAATAACACACTAATTATTTCCTTTTTTGCATTTTGTAATTTATCATCACATTAAATAAATCATGAAATCCATAGCAGTAACTATTAAAAAAAAGATCGAAGGTGAAATAACGCGAATTGGACTCTTTATAAAGGAGTTAAGCCGACCGGCCTGTGTAAGGGGCAGGGAATTGTCCTTGCATCAGAAAGGTTCTGGGTTCGAATCCCGGGCAAGGCATGGATGTTTCTTTCTCTCTATCTGTGTTCTATGTCCTTCTCCTTTGTGTGTGAATGAGTGAATGTGTCCCGCCCTATAAATGGGTTGTGTTAGAGCATAGATTCTCAACCTTTTTAACGTTGCCGCCCCCTTAATAAGCAAAAAACATATCAACGCCCCCCTTTGTGATAATCCAGTTATTTANGGGGGGGGGGGGGGGGGGGGTGCTGAGTTATAAGATGCATTTTTAGGCAATTTTTTAAGTGTTAAATTTGCATGTTTTTCTTTTTAAAAAATTAATGTGTACGTTAACTCTATAATTTTCTCCAGGCAGGTAATCGCAGTCTATTTGTCATAATAAAAATAAATACGGTAATGAAAAAAAAATGTTCAACAAAGAAAACTATGCTTGAAAAGAGTCACTAGTTCTTAATTAGATAATTAAAAAAACACCCAAAAATAAAAGTAGTATTAACGAAACAATCAAGTTACTATGACAGGGGAATGATTGTACTTGATGGTTCATAGCCAATTTCTTAACGTTCGGTTCAATATTTTTACTGAGGTGAAGACGCAAGTCCCCTCGTTACAGGATTTCGAGTCCATTTCTCCTTTTTGTGACTTGATCCATAACAGCACTGAATCCACGTTCGACGAAGTATCTCGAAGGGAAGGATATTAAAAGTAATTTTGAAAATAAGAATGAATTTTTAAAAGAATTTTGACAGTCCAGAGTAGAGGCGACTGATGTTACCTTGAAGCCAAAATTCTGTGAGTTATCACCATTTCAAAGCATTATTAGTTGAAAGTTTGCCCGATTCCTCCTGAATCTGAACCTCTTCTGTTTCAATATTTAAAAAAAGGGTTAATAACCCATTGAAGGAAACAGAACACAACACATTTATAACGGTCAGAAAAGTCCATGTGTAAAGAATCAAGGTGTTAACTATATTCTTGTGTATCATCAGAGGAAATTTCGCCATTCTTTTCAAGATACGATAAGATTTGAAATTGGTTGAACTCATTCCTACCAAATTTTTGCTTCCGCAAAATAAGTTTTTTTAGAAATGTAGAAATAACTGATTTCGTAGGGATCAAACTGAGTTTATCACCTTGAATTTGCAAATTAACACCATTAAATTTTGCAAATAAATCCACCAGCGTCTATCTTAAATTCTAGCAATCTGTCTCTCAGAGCTACATTCTGTCTTCGAGAAACTCAAGCACAGAGTGGAAAAGATTCAAAAACCCATTGAGACAAGGCTCTTTTGGAAAGCCAGCGAATCACGGTGTAGTAGCAAGCGATATTCTTCATAGTTTTTCTAAGACAGCTGTCTGAGTAATCAATCTTTGAGAACATTACTGCGAATTTTGTTCGCAGCAGATATAACATATTGCAATGACTGATGCAAACGGTCGCTGAGGTTTTTTCTTACTAAATACTGTCTGTGAATCACGCAGTGAACTGCTAAAATATCTGGTACCACCCTCTTCAAAACGGCGAAAAACCCACCATGTCGACCCACTATTGCAAGGGATATTTTTGATTAAATCGGATGAGGCTGGATAGTGTAAAACTGTTCCTAAAACTTCCTTAACAGCGGCAGTATCAATTCTTTGCCGATGGTATGACATTTCCCAGATTTAGCAATTAATTTTGATATATTATAAGAACTTATCAAACCATCATCGCATTTTTGTGATTAGGTTGTTAGTAAGCCAGAGGCCAAAGGTGCCTTCAGAAACTTGTCTTTGATGTTCGTGAAAAATGACAAATCTTTATTTTGTTTGTGAGAATGAGTATTTTGCAAATGCTTCTGCTAACGGGAAGGCTCCATTGTCTCATTATATTAAACTTTGTTATAAAATAAATTCATGGGTAGTTGAGAGTTCGACAGCGATTGAACAAATCTAAACTTCAAGTACGTGGCACTGTATGGAATATACTTCTTTACGTTAACCGACATTGTTGGTGGCAGCAAAATACGAATGAAAGAAAATCACCTGTTTTTTCAAATTAATAAATAATTTACGATTAAGAACTAATTCACAAACGTACCTGGCCACATAAACAATGAAAACGAATCGAAACTGGTAAAAGACTGCTAAGAAGCAAACTAAACCATCATAAGAAACACGGGTCAAATCGAATATTTTTACAAAAAGTGCGTGCACTTTATTTCTCCCCAAATGGCTTGAATGTAAGAGGCAAAAACTACTAACTCATGCGCTGTGCTGTGGTGATTCGGATCGGAGAATATGTGTTGCATAAGTTCGTTTTACTGCAGGTACTAATGTTGTATCCGATACTCTAAATTTATTATATTAATTTAATCTTTTTTTTCTTTATGATTAATTTTAGATTAATTTTATTTACTAAATGATTCTTAATTTAATAATTTTATTTGGGAGTATTAAAATTAAATTTGAATAACATAACCTGCTCATCGCCCCCTACCGCCCAGAACTTACCTAACGCCCCCCTGCCGCCCAAAACAAGTCCAACGCCCCTCAGCATACTCCCAACGCCCCCGTTGAGAAACACTGTGTTAGAGTGACGTGGGCGATGCTGCTCCACCGCCGTGGCTTTGCCACAGGTGCCCACTGGGTAGCGAAAAGAGAGTTGCCAGTTCTGGCACTTTCTGTGGCCAATGGACAATAGTTCCAAGTGCCCGCCATTAAAAAAATAAACAAAAAATAAAGGGGTTACTAAATGCGTGCTTTCATTTGGAGATTCGGTTGTTGTAATAAATAATATTGTATTAAAAATATCGGATTGTAAAAGCTATGTGGAAATCAGTAGTAATAACTGCATAAAAAAATAGGACAAAAATTTCTACAGAAAAAAACCCAAATTTTTTACATTATTATTTTTTATTTTTTCTTATTCTTAAATGGGAAAAGAAAAATAACAAGCATTTTTTTCCCACTCCGATGCTTGAGAAAGGCATCTTTTGAATATAATTGTGAGGAAAAGATAAAATCTTTGTTGTGATAAATAATATTGTATTAAAAATATCGGATTTTAAAAGCTATGTGCAAATCAGTAGTAATAACTGCATAAAAAAATAGGACAAAAATTTCTACAGAAAAAAACCCAAATTTTTTACATTATTATTCTTTATTTTTTCTTATTCTTAAATGGGAAAAGAAAAATAACAAGCATTTTTTTCCCACTCCGATGCTTGAGAAAGGCATCTTTTGAATATAATTGTGAGGAAAAGATAAAATCTTTCGAAAATTTCTGCAGAAACGCAAAAGTTTTTACTTCCCGAAGGAAAAATCTTTCTGCAAGAACTCTGTAATGTTTGTGACAATGTTGCTGTGTCACCATGATTCTGCAATGGGTCCAAGACCTCCTGGGCTATCAACTGCGTGTTTCAAGGGTGTAAGAATTTTAGTCATCCAAATCATTTGGGATCTAACTGTTTATATACTATACTGACATAAATAGAAGGACTGGAAAGAAAATAAGACTTGAGTTATTTCAAGTAACTATCTTTTGATTCTTCTATTCAAACACTAAGAAAAGAAAATTTAACTACTTTTTATTTGAATGATGCATGAAGATTCAATAAAATTAACTGTTAGCTTCTTAACAATATTTTAGTCTCTTAGAGTAAATGCTCATTCCATTCCCAACTTTTATTGTTGGCTTGTAGTTTGTTTAAAACAATTTTATTATCAGTTTAGTTATTTCAATTTTAATGTAGTTACTTTAAATATTCTCATATTACGAAATGAATTATGCACATTTAATAGAAATAAAAAATAATACAATAAAGCATGACCTAGTTCATTTACACGAAATGCAGACATTTCATGATCTGGTGAATTACTCCCTTACTATTAAAACAGTTTCAGTTAAAAAAGTAATTCAATTAAATACACTTTTGTTAAAAACTAAAATAAAAGACATTTTACTGTTAAGCAGATGTTACAATTCATAAGGAAAGAGATTTGATTGTTGATTTAAAAAAAGTTTAAATCATTGACTTTTTTTTAAAAAAAAAATGTAATAATAATTCTGTTAATTTTAATTGAAGCTTATCTTTAAAAGATTTATTTTGTGCTCTTCTATTTCAGCGCCTTGTTCGAAAATATCGGAATCAAAAATTTAAATGTGGTGAAGACAATGAAGGTTACAGTGTGAAACTAAAGATGAAATATTTTATTTATTACATGGAGCATAACAAAGATGACAGTCCATTATATATATTTGACAGCAGTTTTGGAGAAGTATGTTTTAACTATTGATACTTTATGAGTAATTTTATTGAAAGTTCTTTGCTTATAATCAGATGTAGTTAACTCGATATTTCCAATTAAAGGTTTTGTTGCTGAAAAGGAATACATTATCATTAAATAATTTGTTTTCAATTAGAGGGCAACTCTAGTCAATGCTAAAAATCTGTCTTCAAACATCAAATTTTACAAGAAGCTTGGAGTTCTTTTTTTTTTTGCAACAGAACACTGCATTTCTGCCTTGTTTATTTAGTAACCTTGCTTAACGAATTTTTTTTCCACATTTTCGTCATGTTTGTCATTTTATTGTTTTATTATTGGAAAATTAGAGTTAAAAACATTTAAAAAAAAGTTCGAAGGGTAGTTGGAAGTGGAATTTTTTTTGGAAATGGAATATTGAAGTTAGCTTACTTTTCTATTATGTATTTGGAAAAGGTAAACAAAGTTTTTAATGAAGTAGTCTTGGTATAATTTCGAGGTGATTAAAAAAAAAAAATTTGATACACCTGTCATAAGTAATAACTCTAATGTGTTTACTATAGTATCTTTTTTTATGTCTGTTTAACATCATTTTGTGTTTATATATTGCTATATTTTTATAAAACTTACAGCAGAAATATAAGAAAACATATTTAGCATTGTAAAATAATAGTTTGGTATTTTCTAATTATGCAATATACCTATGTAATAGACATTTATTTTTTTAATAATTGAGTTTTAGGTTCGGTCTTAAAGTTGAGCGTTACAGCCCAGTATATCATAAACTGTGGTTTTATTAAGATTAAGTGCTATTGCCTGGCATACCAGATCAACCTTACACTATTGCTTAAAAATAACTGTACAAGTTAACTTGGAATTTCATGTGGTTGCAATGTTTGATTCAGTTTAGGGCATCTAGTGATGCACAGAGATCTGATTTCGTAAAATATTGTTTGTACTTAATAATTCACATATTTGAGATCACTCCCTTGAAACACATAGAGTCTAATAGCCTGAAAATCCTATTATATCAAAAGTTATTCAGGGTTGTCTATTTTTTATTTTGCTCATTGTACGTGAAAGATAAATTAGTTGTTATAAAAATACTTATTAAATCTGTTTTTTTTAAAAAAAATTTTTTTTTTTTTTAAATTTCTTTCTTTCCTTTTTTTCTTGAAATTTTTTTTAAAAATTTCTTTTTATTTTTTATTCCTAATACAGTGGGGAACCGATTATCCGGAACGATCGGGACCATCGCCATTCTGGATAACTGATTTTTCCGGTTTTCTCAATCGCTACAAAAAGCCGTTTTTTTATTGTTGTTAAACCCAACTAAAAAAAAAAAATAAATATTTGGAAATAATCTTAAAAAGAAGAAAAAATGATGAAGTAATACACTAATGATTATTTCCAAAATGATGGTAAGGTAAACATCTTTCAAAAAAGAAAGAAAAATCCTAAAATCTTATCAGGAAAAAAAAGTTTATTTTTTTTTTAAAAAAATGGTGGGAAAATGTATCGAATTTTGTTTCGGTTTTTTGGTTTTCCGATTTCCGGATAACGGGTTCTGTACTGTACTAATTTTCACATTTCCTTGTAGCACCCTCGCAGAAAAAAGTTGCTAGACGATTATGATATTCCCAAGTTCTTCCGAGATGATCTTTTTAAATATGCTGGTGAAGAGAGGAGGCCACCTTATAGATGGTTTGTCATGGGATCTGCTAGATCTGGAACAGGAATTCATATTGATCCACTGGGCACCAGTGCTTGGAATTCTCTTATCGAAGGACATAAAAGGTATTTCCAATGTTCAATTAATATTTTTCAATAAATGTTAACATTTTCTCTTAAAATCATTGAATTAAAATAGCTGTGTTTTAAATTTGAACTTTTAGTAATTATAAACTTCAAATCATCCAGTATAATATTTATTATTACCTTGCTCAAATCCAATTTTTGGGCCCATCTAAGGTAACAGACTAATCACATGTGGTTCTGTACTTCAGTAAGAACTTAAAAATATATCCCACTAACTTTTATTTATTCTTTTTATTTATATTTTTACATTATTTTACAAAATGCTTGCAAGTTTATAATGTCCATTTTCACTTTATATGTTTCTATTTGTATTTTTCTTGAATTTTTGTGTTCTTTATTTAATGTATAAATTTTGCTTTGGCTGCATTAATACAGTAGGGAACCGATTATCCGGAACGATCGGGACCATCGCTATTCCGGATAACTGATTTTTCCGGTTTTCTGAATCGCTACAAAAAGCCGTTAGTTTATTGTTAAACTTAACAAAAAAAATGTTTTTTTGGAAATAATCTTAAAAAGAAGAAAAAACGATGAAGGAATACACTAATGATTATTTCCAAAATGATGGTAAGGTAAACATCTTTCGAAACAATAAAAAATCCTAAAATCTTAGGAGGAAAAAGAATTTTTTTTTTTAAAAAATGGCGAGAAAATTTACCGAATTTTGTTTCTGTTTTATGGTTTTCCGGTTTCATGAATTCCGGATAACAGGTTTTGTACTGTACAATATTAGGAGGCGCAATTTTTTCGGATATAATTGTGTGAGCTATGATGACATTATATCTTTACATTATTTTATTTTCTACTTTTATTAATTAATTGTTTTTATAATTCTTATAATATTTATTAATATAACTTATTGTTCTCAGAATAAATGTGATTTATTAATACACAACAGACACTGTATTTTGAAACTTAGTTTTGTTGGTATTATCATTTCTTTTTAACATTGTGTTGTGCTACAAGAAAGAGTAAGAAAAAGAACTTCCCCAGAATCTTGAATGAAATATCTAACCTTAGGTTATATATTTCCTTACCTATTACCTTCTATTATTTGTTTTTAGATTATATATATATATATATTTTTGCAGCTTTTTATTATTAGTGTCCATACATGTAAAGAATGATCAGTTATAACCTTTTCACTAAAAATACTGTTCTGTGTATAGTACTCAGAGATGATTGTGCTCTGGTAAAAATCCAAGGTCTGGAAGTTTCAAGAAATCATTGATCACATTTATTTCTAAAAATTCTTGTATATTTTATGTAGAGATATTAGAACTAGAATTTATACTTTTATTTTTTAAATATCTGTAATCTGTTTGTAAATATTTTTTCTTTTAGAATAATAAATGTGATTAGACATAAAAGTAAATTTATACATAATTATTCATTTAAGTTATGCTGCATATAATTTATTTAGAATTTCATGTTTTGAAAATATCAATGATTTAAATTTATAAAGACATTCATTTTTTGAAATGCCTCATTAATGATTTTACTCAAGAAATTTTCATGATTTTTGAGTTGGGCTCACAATCACCCCTGAGTATTGTAACATACGGCAGGAATTCTTTGCTTGTTGAAAATGTTATTTGTAATTTGTCATTAAGAGATTTTTTTTTTCATGAGTAACTAGGAAAAGAATTGTCTTAAATAAGTTTTTTTCTATTCCTAGGCAGACTTAAGACATGTAAAGAATTATTTTTCCAAATGTTTAATATGCTCTATCTCAAATATATTTTCTATTAATTTGTAGTTTTTTCTTTTTTTATGAAAAAATTTCTTTTAATAGTTTTGCAGTCAAAATTTGTTAATAATGCAGTTTGCTTTTTAAGGTGGTGCTTGTTTCCAACTCATACTCCTAAAGAGATGATCAAAGTTAGACCAGAAGAAGGTGGTAAACAAGGAGATGAAGCTGTTACTTGGTTCCAATACATATATCCTAGAACTCAACAACCTGATTGGCCACAAGACTGCAAGCCCGTAATAATATTTTTATTTACCCATGAATGAGTTTTTTTAAAAAAAATATAATTTGGTTTGCTTTTTTTAAACCAAGGGATCTTGAACTAGATGCAAAAAAATAATAATAACAAATAAATAAATAAAAAAAAAATTGCATATGTGAAGATGGGAATTTCCTGATTAGCAAATTTTTCACTGATAAAATACATTTCATCAATAAAGCCTTGCCCCCAATTTGCATCCAAAAATTTTTTATGTCCAGTTCCGAAAATCAATAAAATTTTTTTGATGTCTTATGATTGGAAAATAATTTCAGCAGATTATTTGATGAATCCTCATGGTTTTATCAGTGATTCATTACAGAAAAAAAATGGGAGAGAATTTCTCACTTTTTCTCAAAAACAGGGTGTGATTTCAAAAAGTTAAGTGAGATTTCTAAAAATTAAAAAAGCACGAATAGACTTGGAAAAAAATTATTTCTTTAATTATAATATATTTTTCACATCTTCTAATTGAATATTTTTGCTGCATCATCTTATGGAAAATGTTCTATATCTACTTTTTCATCGGCTATTATATTTATTTGGCTGAAAAATATCTGTATTTGTTTCGTTTTGACCGTTTCTACCGATTTTCATTTGTTCGATACGGAGTAAAAGATGTCGCCTTAACAAGGTATTTGTCCATCTTACATTCAAGTACAAAAGATTTAAACGTCTTACATGAAGAAACCTTACCTACGGTGAACACGTGGTTGCAGAGAAAGGGGTTCCGTAGTTCGGGAGAGTTGCTCTGCTGTTCGCACTGGTTCTGAACAATACTGATAAATAGGGAAGCTAGATAACAAGGACCGATATTCAAAATAATGAAAGATCAAGGAAGAAAAGTGAAACCAATTTTATTCAAAATGGCAAAAAAAGAATTTTTTCCAAAATTCGTGCATTTTGAAATTGATTAATAGAGTGCTCGAACTTCTCGCGTTAATCGTTTTTTATTGCGAGAAAAGAAAACATAGGCGAGATTCTCGCGCTGTAGAGAAAACACTGTTTTATATTTGATAATCTGCGAACCGTCGTGTCTCGGGGGATAGAGAGCTCACCTCCCAACGAGGTGACTCGTGTTCGAATCCGAGCGACCAATTCTTCCTAAAAGACAGAAGGCCTCATCACGGGTTGCCATAACCATGAAATATGATCCTTTAGTAGTCCAAATATAATGACATCTTTTTTATTTTCCTCTACTGTGCAGTTTATGTTCGTTACAGCGGACTTCACTCTTCTAGAAACTCAGTAGCCTGACTCACATTGACCACAGGGATGACTTAAAATATCTTCAGTGGTTAAGAGTCCCCTTGCCGCCAGTCTAACCCTGGGACGTTTTAATGGTTTCCTTCTCCATGTAATGCAAATGCAAGTTAGCTCCATCAAAAAGTCCTCCATGAAGGCAAATTTCTCTTAATAATAGATCTAGGAGTTCCCTTGTCTTATGCATTAGGTTCAAAATAACAAGGCTACGCAGTTGAACAAAATTGGTTTCAGAAACACAAAATTGAGTCGGTGATTATAAAATAACGACAACTATAAAATAAAATAGGTAGACAGGGAGTGTAGCATTTTTAAAAGGTGCTTAATTTTCTATCTTTTAAAATGCATGGTTTTCACAATTTTCTCTGCTGTATTTATCTGAAACTAGTTATTTTATCATGATTATGTAAAGTTTTTGAATTTCATTGATTTTATTTTATAAATTGAGAACTTTAAACGATAGAAAACAATTACTTTTATTTATGCACAGATCCTAATTATGATTTTGGAAAGTGATTAAAATATTTTTTGAGTGCTTAAAAAGTACTTTTTTAAAGCCCTTAAAGGTGCTTTTTTTATTTGGAGTTTGTAAAAAGTGCTTAATTTTCTATTTTTTAAAATGCATGATTTTCTCAGCAATATTTATCAGAAACTAGTTATTTTATCATGATTATGTAAAGTTTTTGAATTTCACTGATTTTATGTTTATAAATGATAACTTTAAACGATAGAAATTTTTTTTTTTTATTGCCGCACAGATCCTAATTATGTTTTTTTTTTTTAAATTGCTTTAAAAGTGCTTATTTTTTGTGTGAAAAATCTGTCTACGCACCCTGTGTGGATTATACGCAAGAAATTATGATAATGAGGCATTATCATGCCCCTGAGTGTTATTAATCCTGTTTTTTTTCTTAAACATTCAGCATTCCTCATGTTTTCATTTTCAATGGAAATCCAGGAAAATTTCACTATTAGAGATCAGGAGCAAATCCAGGAGCTTAATGCTTGGAGGATTAACAATAATATATAATATTTTTAACCTTTTAATAATCAACTTACTAACTATTCGATATTTTGAAAATTTCTTACCAATTTGGCAATTTTTTTTTTCCAGTTGGAACTTCTCCAAGGTCCTGGAGAGACTGTTTTTGTGCCTGGAGGATGGTGGCATGTTGTTGTAAACATGGATACCACCATTGCAGTGACTCAGAACTTTTGTAGTCTTACAAATTTTCCTATAGTGTGGCATAAAACTATTAGAGGAAGACCTAAACTCTCAAGAAAGTGGTATAAAATTTTAAGGGTAATTTTTGCTTTCATTTATTTCATTTCCCAGATTCCTTTGCATCAGGGTTTGTTGATTTAAATCAGCTTGATTTAAATCATGATATTAATCAACTGATTTATATATATATATATTGATTTAGAAAGTTAAAAAACAGTGTTTTAAATTATTGATACTTTTATCATTTTCTTTCTTTTGTTTTAAATTATTTTTTTTACAGCTTAACTTATCTATTTTAATATAGGATTAAAAATGAATATTTTAATATAGAAATACATAGATAAAATATTTATTTATTTTTTGATGAATGATTACATTATAAACACAATCTGTTACATTTATTTATTTTGCCATTTTAAAAACCAAGAGAAAAAAAAAACAATTTTAAATTGAAATTTTGTTTGCTAATTGAAATTTTGTCTTAATACTTTAAAGTATTCCTTAAATTCTCTATTTCATCTAGTCTTTAAATTTCAATCATGCATTTGTTTAAAAATGGTTGCTATGCATTCAAAGCTATGTATTATAATGAAAAATTGTTTTAGGAAGTTAGAGCTTCTAAAATATTGTTATAATATAGTTTTAATATTAATTTAATTTTGATCAAACATTTATAAAGTTTTTTAAATCATAAATCAAAGTTCTTACAGTGTAGTATTTGTATAAAACTCAAAAATAACCGATTTAAATTAAAAAAAAAAATTCAATTTCAATAAAAAAAAAATCATGAACCCTGTTTTGCATTGCCAACCTTCCAATGTAAAACTTTATTTATTCAGGAAAAAAGACCAGAGTTAGCTGCAATTGCTGACCGCATAGATGTAAATGCTAATACTGGTGTAGCTTCGGACAGTTCGAGTGGATCTAGTTCATCATCTTCATCAGATGAATCATCTGTTTGCTCTAGTTCTGAAAGTGATGATTCTGGTAAAGCTAGTATAACTGATCGCAAAAAGAAAAGGTGCTGTTCTCATATATTTTTCAGAGATAGTTTCTAATTTATATTTTATTAACTTTAAGCATTTTGATACTTTTCTTGCATTTGACTGTTGAAATTAGTAAAAACAATGTATGGCCATTATTATCTAGCTTTTGATGAATACAGTGGAGCATCGTTTATACGACATTTTAGTGTGGTCCCAAATCATTCCTATTCATTTTAATGTAAAAATATATCGTTTATACGCCGCACAGTATCGGTTATACGTCGGTTTTTAGATTTTGTTGATGTTTATTAAATTTTTTCTTGTGTATTTTAAAAAAAAAAGCGAAATTTGCCAACATGAATGATACAGAAAAGGGTGCCAACAAGAATGCTTGGATGACGACCGTAATTTTTACTAGATGACTGAAAAAACTAGACAATGTTATGAAGAGGCAAAAACGAAAAATTTTGCTATTCATCGACCAATGTCCAGCGCACCCATCGATACTAATTATTTTGGAAAATGTAAAAGCTCTCTTTTTTCCTGCAAATTGCACAAGTGCGCTTCAGCCATTAGATTTGGCCGTGATTAGAAATCTAAAATTGCATCATAGAAAGCAGTAAGTTCAACTCGCTATTCAAAGCATTGTAGAGACTAATAGCAAGAAAATATAATTAAAGGTAACATACATTCAAATTGCTCACTGCAATTTTTCTTCTTTGCTTATTTGTTTGTTTTGCTTTGTCTAATTTAGAAATTTATGTAAATCAACACGTTAAACATTAAAATTAACTGAAAACAGAGTTAGTTTCAGCTTTAGAAGTAAAAATCGATTATACGACGTTTTTTGGTGGTCCCTTCGGCGTCGTATAAACGATGCTCTACTGTAATTAAAATAATCTCTTACTCTTGACATTGTTGAATTTAAACTGTTTCTGAATGAGAGAGAGAAAGACTGTATTCATATTTTGTTACTAAAAGAATCTCTTAGACAACAGACAATGTATAAAAAGTAAAATGAATGCCCTAATTTTGTAAGTTTACTATGCGTCATATAATTAATTAAAATAGACTTACATTCAATGGTAATTCAAGTAAGTTTTGAATGAGTTGCTGCCAATTGATGATGCTATGCTAGAAGACTTACCAAACTGTGAAAACAAATTCGTCAAAAATTACTCTTTCATAAATGCACTTTTGCCTTGGTCTCCAAGAATCCCAGATTTTATCTCCTGCGATTTTTCCTGTGCATGTGCTTTCAGATCCAACAACCAGAGCTCGTATCATAGCTGCTGTTGCCAGCATTGTTACAAACATGCTGCTCAAAGTTTGACAGGAATTACCGTTCAAACTTGATGTATGCCGTATAACAAAACAAGCAATTATCGAACATTTGTGAGGAACATTAAAAATTCGCTTATTTTACCTCTGCTTGAATAAATTGATAAACAAAAAGAGCAAAATAGTTTGACAAATAATTTCGAAAACTTCTTTCTCTTTGCCTAACTGTCTACCTTACTGAAAAATCCATAGAGTACTAGATTTTCCTAGTTTTTCTCCATCTCCTGATTTTATCTAGAATTCTATTTTTAATTGAAACTTGAAAAGAAAAAAAGCTTTAAAATTTTTTTACTGTGCTTATTGTTTACATGCATACTATGCTAACTATCATTAATGAATTCTATATCATTTACTATTCAATGGTAAAATTTAAGTATGTAATGGACATAAATCGAAGTTTTCATATTGCAGTTCATTTATTGTTAACATAATCATTTGAAGTTCATTTACTATACTAAGTCAAATGGATTAAGGTTTTTAGTGTTATTGTTTATACAATTTGTGACAAATTTTACTGTTTATAACTTATGTTATTAAAACTTGGATTATTTGTTTTCATTCTATCTGACTTATATTTTTTGACAACACTATTGTGCTTACAGCTGTCGATATACAATTGTTTCAGATTCTCAGGTTTTAATAATTGAAAAATAAAAAAGTTGGTAAAGTGCTGATTATTTATATATGATTTGACTGAAACTTCATGTTTTGGCTTTAAAATACAAAATACCATTTTAGTAATAAATATGTTATAAAAATAGCACATATAATTATAACCTCTTAACTCTGTATGTTAATAATAATAAAAAAAATTGTTTCTTAATGCTTAATTTATTACTAAATTCTAATTTATGCTTAAATTTCTCTTCAGATTTTTTTTAAAGACATGAACTATTTTCCCTATAACATTAGTTCTATTCAAATAATTGTTTTATTGATTGATTATCTCTTCAATTCTAGAATGTCTCATTTAGTGTTTTAAAATTGAAGCGGTCAATGTTACATTTTTGCGGTCAATGATACATAGGGGGGGGGGTGTTACATTTTTACAAAAATGAGTTTTTTGTTGTTTTAAAAAAAATACTAATTATCAAATATCGAGTAGTTTTCTAGATTGCCCAAAAATGAAAATCCAACAATTTGTAAGCAATTATAACAATCTTTCCACAATTGACACAGTTTTTTTGTTTTTTCCTGAAAGTGCAGATTTGTAACATACCCCCTTTTAACAATGATCACTTCAATCGTATATTGATGCCAAGTGAGGAAATTAATTTAAATAAAGGAAAGAGAAAAAGTGTAGGATTGCTAAGACTATGTTACTTTTCTGTAGGCTCAAACTAGTTGCCTTTTTCACAGTTTCACTACTAAAATGATAGAATACATTAGAAATTTTGTGAATAAATGTGCTTTAAAATATAACAGAACCAACTTACTGTGAATGTTTAAAAAAACATTCTGTTCAAATATTTATTTGCTGATTAATCAGTTTTTCCCCCCATAACAGATTCATTTATCATATTTTTTTAAGAATATTAATTTTCAAGCGTTCTATTTTATTTTATTATTATTACCTAAAGTTACTTTAAAACTTCAGTGAAAATCTATTGCATTGCATGACTATTTACGTATATTTATTTTGCTTATGGTAGTTTAAAATACCAACATGAGCTTGATCATTGCATTATTATCAGTAGTGTAGTTTTATTAATATGTTGAGACTTTTCTATTTCTTCTTAAATAAATATCGTATTTAATTTGTAATAGATATTTATATTTTAGTATCCTTCAAATATTGCTTTTATAATTACAGTGTTCTCCCTGCCCTTTGATCCCTATAAATATGCTCTTTTTCTAGAAAAAAAAAAAATAATAATAATAATAAGCTACCATCCCTTATAAACATTGCCTTTTTATTCATATTTTTAAAAAAAGTAATTCACTGTTCCAATAAAAATTACATGCTGGTAAAATTCTGTTTAAAGGTTTAATTCTGATTATTCTCAGCTGGTTAAATTTTTATAAGTTTCTATCTTTTTAGGAGGGTGATATATTTTGATGAATAAATTTTTAAAGTGATTTTAAAATTATTATTTTTTTAAATAAATACCCTTTTTTTAGATGCAAATCTAAATGATTATTTTCTCATAATTTTAGTTTAAATTATAGAAAAAAATTCTTTTGACTTGTTTATTATTTAATCATTCTTTTAGTTGACTTTTTTCGAAAAAAATGTATGCTCACAAATTGTCTTTAAGCATGCTTTTAATTATTTTTCATAAGCTTTAAGTTTTTCTCCTATTTTGATAATGAGTGAGAATTACTTTTTGAAACTTACACATAAAATAGTGTAAGTGGATAATTTAAAAATTGTTAAGGATAAAATTCAGTTCATTTTGAGAAATTTTTATGGTGTTAAGTGAGTGATTTTTCAAAATGCTCTTTTCTGTTAAGGAAGCATCCTGCCCTTTTTTTTTATCCTCAATGATTTGCTGCTTTAAGTGCCTCTGAATATTTTATCCCTTTAAAATGTAGATTCTTTAATTATCTACCTGCATATTTTGTTTATTTCCACTAAATGATTCATTTTCCTTGCAAAAAAGTTTTTATTATTAATTTGCTGAAATATGTTTCAAAATTTTAAAGAAAACACCTCTTATTTAATTATTTATAAAACTATAAGTAATATACAGGGGTCAGTTAAAATTATGGAAATATTTCTAAACTAACTCTATGTAAACAATATTTCTTTTAGCATCAAATGTTTTGGATGACTTTACATGCCAAAATTGTTGCCACAATTTGAAAAAAATCACGCTTAAAATTTAAAATGGTGTTCTTTTCAACTATACAAAATTTGCAGACCAAAATAAGTGCATGGAGATAAAAGCTTTTGTTCTTTTCAATACTAATAATTTCAATAATTAAAAAAACGTTCTTATATAAATATCGCTATCGTATAACATGATTTCGGAATTGCTGGTATTAAAGCTAGAAATAAGTTAGTAACTTTCTCTCATTTTAGTTGATCCGAATTTTGAGTGGGTAAAAATGACATTTCTAAAAGCTTCAAGCATGAATCTTTCTAATTGTGTCAAAAATTTTGCCATGTAAAATCTTCCAAAGTATTTGCTGTGAAAAAAAAAAAGATTGTTTACATTGAGTTAGTATAGAAGCATTTTCATAATTTTGTGCAATCTCTCTATATCAATGCACAAAATCACTTATTTAGCATTCTAAACATTTAATATCAATTGTGCAATGTTTCCATTAAATTTTATCCTAAATTAAACCGTATTTTGGCTATAAAAGAATTAAAAAATGTTTGCTCTCCAAATAACAAATAGTAATAATTTATGCATAAAGTTAATTGAATAGAAATTTAATTTTAATTGTGTTTTTTTTTTCTTCATAAAATGTTTTTAGTAAATACCTAAATTAAACTGTATTTTGGCTATAAAAGTATTAAAAAAGGTTTGCTCTCCAAATAATAAATAGTAATATTTTCTGCATAAAGTTGATTGAATAGAAATTTAATCTTAATTGTGTTTTTTTTTTCTTCATAAAATTTTATAAGTAAATACCTAAATTAAACCGTATTTTGGCTATAAAAGTATTGAAAAATGTTTGCTCTCCAAATAATAAATAGTAATATTTTCTGCATAAAGTTGATTGAATAGAAATTTAGTCTTAATTGTGTTTTTTTTTCTTCATAAAATTTTATCATAAGTAAATAAAATTTTGTCTAAAAAACTATCAAAATGAAATATTTGCTCTTTGTCCAATAATCGCCAATAATTTGTGTATAAAATTGGTTTTTAAATATTTTTAGTAATTTTATTTGTTTTCAATTTTTTTTTGTTTTATTAATTTAAAGTAACATTTTATTTATTTCTCTTTATAGGAAACGATCTAATCATGAAAATGAGAATAAACGTTTTAGAAGATAACATTGGGACATACTAGCCTAAAAGAATAAAATCATTTTTATCATGGAATTTTTCTTTAAATCCACCAAAGTGTACTAAAAATATGAGAAAGTGCTTTGTTTGCATGTGCCTGCTTTATTCTTTTAACAAAACTCCATTGACTCATGACTTTAATGAAGCTGTTTAGTTTTATTTACAGTACTTTCAGTTATGCATGTTATAATTTTGTGTTCAGTTTTAAGGCATTATTTTACCTTTTACGTAGATATTCACAATTCATCAGTATTTATAAATGTACTTGACATTTAAACGGTTATGTATAAGTTAAATTTCCACATGCACTTAAGTAAATAGATACAAGGTTTTTATTTCAGTTTTTAGAGTTAATGATTTAAAATAATATTCTTTACATTTGCTTGTAAATAACAAATAATTTTTAATTTGGTTTTTTAAATGGGAAAAAACATATTGTTTTTATCCTGTTAGATTATTTTTTACTAATTTTATGTTTCTTTCTTCAGTTAAAGCTAAGCTTCATAATGTTGACATTTGTTAGTTAATTGCTTTAAACCTAGTTCTAACAGCACAGTTATAGAATTAGATAAAAAAAAAATTCATTTTTTCACATTGCAAAAGCACCGTTAAGTGAGCCAAAAGTATCAATTAAAAACCAACTTGCTCACAAAGTTGCTTTAAATTTTTGTACTTGATTTACTGGGTATCGTGTTATTTATTTTGTGATTAGTACACTATCTTAGGTGATATAGGAGATCAGCTATTGATATCTTTTTGAGAGAAAAATGTTTTTTAAACTTATTTTTTAAGAATGTTATTTTGGAAGGAAGTTATGACATCCCATAAATGAAATATTTTGACATATTTCATTATTCTAGTCTTCCAAAACTATGTATTTAATCATTTGTATAGAACCAACATTTAAGGAAAAATTGGAACAATTATTTTCAACAGAAATTTTTTTTTTCACTGTTTGATACTTAATTATGCTGAGCTGATTGTTGTGGCTTTAATAAATTTCATATGAATTTCTAAATTAGTAATTGCTATAAATTTTTGTTTGTCTCGCAGGTGTAAATTTTAAAGAAAGTCTTTGCATATACAGTAGGGAACCGATTATCCGGAATGACGGGACCATCGCTATTTCGGATAACTGATTTTTCCGGTTTTCTGAATCGCTACAAAAAGCCGTTTTTTTATTGTTAAACCCAACTAAAAAAAAAAAAAATTTGAAATAATCTTTAAAATAAGAAAAAACGATGAAGTAATACACTGATGATTATTTCCAAAATGATGGTAAGGTAAACATCTTTAAAAAAAGAAAGAAAGATTGTAAAATCTTATGAGGAAAATGTTTTTTTTTTTTTTTAAATGGCGAGAAAATTTATCGAATTTCGTTCCGGTTTTTTGATTTCCGGATAACGGGTTCTGTACTGTACTATGAATTTTTTTTCACTTTTGATGTTTAAAAAAATGTTTGTGGAATACATATGTTTTGATGAGAATTGTGTTTTAATATAATTTCTTAACGGAATATTAACTTGGAGGTTTACTTAAAATATTATTATATTGTATTACTTGAAAGAGCTTTACAGCTTGCTAGAGCAGCATAGAAGTTCAGCCAATCAGCTGTCATGAAATGACCGAGGCCCATCTGTGTTGGTGATTTTAAGCTCACCAATAATTGTATTGTTGGGTATTAGCTAGTCAAAGAAGTTTAAGTGGTGAGAAAAAATATTCACATCCCCAACATCTTATTGTTGGTAACAAAATTATTGAGCCTTAATCTCCGTAGCACCCATGGTGGAACATGTAATGTCATAGGAGTTTTTTTACATTTTGCTCTAAACTATTAAGTGCTAAAAAATTTATAATAAAAGTAAATGGTTTAAAATAAAAAAAATTCTGAGTATCCAGTTCAGTTTATACATCTTGATTTTAAAATTAAATGAAAAGTCTTTTGAAGTTCCAGAAAATTATAAATTGGAAAATTCAAAAAGAAAATATTTTTTGATTAACCAAGTGAAAAAGAAATTTTTTTTTTAGATAATTTAGGTCTGCACTATGAATATCATGTATGTATTTGTATGTCGATGAATGTTTTCGGTTTTGTTTTAGGTGATGGCCATTTTGTTTTGATCACTTATGAAAGTATTCCTAAGCATTGCCAAAAAATTATTCCTTGGCAGGATTTGTCTAACTGAAAAGTACAAAAAAAAAAATATATGATTTAAGCAATCCATTTATGTTAAAATTGTAGTACTAATGATCAATAATAAAAACATAACAGATGTGTGTTGACTTAATACGGGTACCTGCACTACTCTATGCAGGTTATTTAAGTGCTCTACAACAAAGCTTAGTACAAATCCGCAAGCTCAGTGTATTAACTTATTGTAATCAAGTATGTGTTTATCTTAGAAATGGGAATAAAATTTAAATAAATTATTATTCAAAAAAGAAAATTTTAATGCTAAAAAATTAATATTTTAAAAAAATGTTTAGTTGCAACTCATGAAAGATATGCATAAAAATAACTAAAATTAAAAGGAGTGTATTAACTTATGTACTTAAAATTTGGATTATTTATTGCTATGAGCTATGAAAGGAAAGTGTTAAATGTGCAATAAGTATGTAGAATAATTTGTTTTTGTTGTGTATGATGAAGGATGGTGTTAATTTTTGTTTACTGTTTCATTGATGTGATAATTTGTGTGTAATTTTTTTCTTGTAGTTGAAATTAAAATTGTTAAAAAAAATACATTTTTCTTTCTGTTACTTTTAAATAATTATCTTGATCTGTATGATTAAATATTAATTTAGTTATAGTTTTATTTAGCAGCCATGCTGTTAAGACTAAGAATCTATTTAAGATAAACTAAAACCAATGAAACAGTTTATCTAATAAGATAAACTGTTGTAGTTGAAATTAAAACTGTTAAAAAAATGCGATTAAATATTAATTTAATAACAGTTTTATTTAGCAGCCATGCTGTTAAGACTAAGAATCTATTTAAGATAAATTAAAACCCCCTTTCATATTAAATATAAAGAAAATGAGCTCTTAAATTGTTTGCATTTCTATGATTAAAATTACATAGAAGAAAGTGCATATTTTCATTTGAAATTTAAACTGTTCACAACTTCTTATTTATGTTTGGAAGATTTTAACCTTGTGTTAGAGAGCAAAAGAAGCTTTAAAGACAGAATGAAATTTTTTTAAGTACTTTATTAACCAAGGCATCAAATTTCAGAACTTGCTCAATCCCCTCTTTCAACTGAGAATATTTTTAAAAATTATTAGTGAAGAAAATGAAGCTTTATATTTATATATGTGTGATTTTTGAAAGCAATTTAACTTAATAAATAACAAGCACAGTTTTCCATTTTTTCTCTTTCCAAATATTATGAAATAATTCCATGCTTTTAACTATTTTAAAATGACCAGGGACATCTGATTCTTTATAAAAATTCCTATTGCTAGATGAGAAATAATTTTGTTCATGTTTTGTAAAACCACTGAAAATGGATTAGAGTTGTTTTTGATTTTCTGAATAGAATTAAGTGAATAAACATCACACAATAAACTTAATTGCGTAATTTAAGCCCTCACTCACAAAAATTTGGAGTCATTAATACTATTTTACAACTAAACCTTTAAACCTGTGAAAAAAAATTATTATATAATTACCTAATCTATTTTTTACTTAAGGAATATGAATGATGTTTGTTGTAGAAAGATTTTATATGTATATATACTTGCGACAGTAAACAGTTACATGATTTTATTTGACTAAGTATTTTACTTTAATTGAAAAATGTAATGCATTTTAAAACAAGCTATATATAATATACTGTGGGTAATGTTTCAGGTATTTTGCTGCTGTTGTATGTATTTAAATGTTATCTTCAACACTCATCAATAATCTGCAAAATTTAAAGCATTGTTTGTTTCTGTTTTAATTTACTTTCTTCCGTAACACAAAAATAACTATCAGTACAAGTGTGTGACTACTGAAAGTGTAAGTAAATTGTGTTGTGTATATATATATATGCTTCCATTTCATTCCCATTATGGGAAGTATTTGTAATCATTTGCATAATAAAATTTGGAATGTCTTCATTCGTTTTCAATGCTTTCTTGATTTGTAATCACGCAAATTTTTAATATACAAAGAAATAATATCTGCGGTTTCTTATCACAATAAAATTAAAAACGGAAAATTAAAATTCACCTTGTTCTCGGAAATCTGTTTTTTTAGTTATTCTGCTTTTATTGTCTGAGAACTGTTTATGTATCTACTGTTTAGTTCACTCATTGTTATTTATATTATCGCCATTTGTATGAACTCAATTTAGAAATCACACTTAACTATTTGTATCACTTGTTGACTCAATAATGCAGTGTTTTCATCCTAGAAAAAAAATGGGTGAGATTTCAAAAACAGGGTGAGATTTCAAAAAACTCCTGAAAAAAGAAATCATACCTTTAATTATAATAAATTTTTAACGTCTTCTATTTTTTAAGCATTGAATATTTTTGGTGCATCATCATAGAAGATTTTGCCTTTACAAGATATTTGTCCATCTTACATAAGCGCATAAAAAATTTGAACGTCTTACATGAAGAAACCTTACCTACAGTAAACTCGTAGTTGCAGAGAAATGTGTTCTGAAAGGGGTTCCGTGGTTGTGTTCTGTTGTTCGAAAAGGTTTTGAACAATACTGGTAAATAGGGAAGCTAGATAATGAGGCAGTTGTTGAAAATAATGAAAAATCCAGGAAGAAAAGTGAAATCGATTTTATTCTAAATGGCATAATTCGAAACTTTTTCCAAAATGCGACAAATTCGCGAATTTTGAAATTGATTTATAGAATGCGCGAATTTCTCGCGGTAATCATTTTTTAATACGAGAAAAGAAAAAAATATGCGAGATTCTCGCGCTGTAGTGAAAACACTGCAATAATGAATCTCACTTTGATATTGTAATTCATATCACTGTGATTTATGAATCAGACTAGGGGTGCACAACCTTTTTGGTTGAAGGGCCACACGCATATTTAGTCATGTTAGCAGCAAATATGATAATTTTTAGATAAACATTAGTGTTCTAAGCACTAAATATTTATATCAGTTAACTTTTAATAATTAAATACTTTTATTTATTTAAACCTAAAAAAGCTGATTAATTTATCATATATATATTTATACACACATGAATATTGGGAGGGGTGATATAAATCTAACCAAAAAGAAGCTTACAGAATAAATGTGTAAAAAATATAAGCATTTTATAGAGTGATATAAATTTGAATTAAATATTTCAATTAAAGAAAATTTACAATGTTTAAACAAAGACGGCATGTGGCCCACGGGCCATAGGTTGAGTACCCCTAAGATAGACCTTAATTTGGTTTGTGAAACATGTATCAGAATGTCCAATGACAAATCAAACATTTCAATTCTTATTGAGGTGATTTTAAAATTCAGCACATTGCTGATTTCTTGCTCATTAAATTGAAAATAATAAATGATTAAAATATAAAAAGTTACAGATATTTGTGTGATTTATCAATTACGTGTATGAGAGTTATGCATAATTTAATTACTGAAGATTGTCTGTCCCATTTATTTCGTAAAAAATTCTTCAAGAGTCAAAAACGAAAATTTCTCTATCTGTTCTAAGTTATTGTGTATAGAGATAGCTTTGACTAGAGAGATAGCTATGAGACAGACTTTGCCCTAGCATAATGCAGGTTCGTTAGTTGAAAGTTGTTTTCTTGATTACATTCTATCAATTTTTTTAAAATCAAAGTAGGCAATTATACAAAAATCCATTTTGCTAGGTTTTGCATAAAAAAATATGAAGCATGAAAATTAAAATATTAAATCAAATGATACAAAAAAATTTCTAATATAGTATAATTCTTAATATGGTTATCTGTTGGTGACAATTCAACAATGCCATTCCAGTTTTTTTCTTCTTTTGTTTTACTAGATAGTGTTAGAAAAGTTAAAATTATTTTCTTATTCAGAAATCAATGATTGGGTAGAGAGACTGAATCTTAGACTCCATGCAAGGTATATGGATCGAGGAAAACTGGAATTGACAGGGAATATGATTTTGCCAACAAATAGCCAATGAGGTTCAAAATAAATTAGTTTAACATCTATTTTTATCATTTCTTGTAAAATACTGCAATGCTAAATTTAGAATTAATTTAATTAGTGAAACTACTTCGTTTAAATATTCTTTAATATTTGCAGTTAAATAGTACTATTTTTAAAAAAAAAATTCCGTATAAATTAATTTGGAACTCAATCGCAAATAAGATCAGATCTATGATGACTGATTACTTTAATTATGAAACTTATTAAACTAAGATATATTCATTTTCCAGTTTTTTAGCAAAATATCACTTCTATCAATAATTTATAAACTTGCGCATTCTAAACTCTTTATGTTAAATCAATTAATGAAATTCTGTTTTTGTAAAATTCAACATATTTTCTATCACGATATGAATTGCATTGCTTATCAAATAAAAATTATACATCTAAATTTTCCTGGTAAAGTCAAATTGTATTTCTAAAATTGAGTGATGTATTTCAGACACATAGAGATAGATAACAACTCAGGCGGGCTCGGATTAAAATTCTTCAATTTCGGCCTTTCCAAAGCGAGTTAAAACTTATACCAGGTGTAATTTAACTTAATAGTTTATTTCAAGGAAATCTTAAACTTGTTGAGAATATGCTGTGCATAGAATCAGCATAAATGCATCAGCTGCAGTACATGCATAGAATAGTTGTAACTAGGACTGGGCGAAATTAGAAATTATATATCGCAATGCATCGTCAGTTTTGCATCGCGATATAGCGATGTATCGCGATATAGTATTTTTGAATTTCATTTACTTGTAAGGCACAGAAAGTCAGATTTCTATCAAAACTTCATACTCAGATTGATTTAAATCAAACTATAAATTTTAAGATATATATGTTTTGCTTAAGAAAGATATTAAACAAATTGACTACAATGTACAAATCTTACTTAAAATATTTATTGAAATGTTTGTTTAGAAATTCATAATATGCGTAAAACAAGGTGTTAAAAACTTTTTCTAAAGCGTTTCTTACAAATTAATATTTTCTTGTACTATTATGCATAAATAATTACATAATTATTAAGTTCGATCGTAATGTTCAATTTCTAAATGAAACGTTAAAAATTATTTGTATGTTTAAAACAGAGTGCTAAATAAATTTTAAAAAAAAAAACGCTTTTAAAACACTATTTTTTATTATTATCATTTCAGTTATTATAGTTCTATTATAGTTCATTTACGTCACACTAGAGCTGCACAATGGGCTATTGGCGACGGTCTGGGAAACATCCCTGAGGATGATCCGAAGACATGCCATCACAATTTTGATCCTCTGCAGATGGGATGGCACCCCCGCTTCGGTAGCTCGACGACCTGCACGCGAAGTCGAGCACTTTACGGTAGAACAGTTTAACGAGGACCAATACCGCACACCCTCGGTCCCTACGCAGACTGATCCAAGTGGTCACTCACCCGCACACTGACCGCAGCCAGTGATGCTTGACTTCGGTGATCTGCAGGGAACCGTGTCTTAACGATCAGTCCACTGCGGGACCTTATCATTTCAGATAAATAATTAAATTAAATTAAATAATGACCGAATTATGAACGAAAAACAAAGTAAGATTTAATTTCTTAAAAATAAAAAAATTGTGATATTCGATAATATATTTAGCTAATTAACAAATAATATGAAAAGAATATTTTTTAAAAAAAATTATTATACTCTCTAATAAAACGAAGTGCTAAATGATTTAAAAAAATGAATAAAATACGCAAACCTTTCAAATTTTTTTGTATAAACAAAGTTGATTGACTTATGTCCAAATCCAAATGACAAAAATAAATTTTGTTTTAACTTTATTTCTAAAAATAAAAACAACAAGATTTATAAATTTAAAATCAGTAATAAAAACTCATTAAATTATTAGAAGTTTCATCCAAAAAGTTTTTAATAAATTAAAAGAAAGTAAAAAAATAACCTAACAAATTCAATTCTTTATGGGCGCCTAAATTAGATTGCCGATAATTTTCACATTTAAAAATAAAAAGAAGTTTTTTTTAAAAAAAAACTTATCTAATTAATGAAGAAACTCTTCTTTATATATTCTTTTCAATAATAGATTGCCTTCAGAACAAGGTAACATCGGCGATCACGAAGTTAGTCCCACTGAAAATAATCTACAAGAAAAGTCGCGACAAAGAAAAAAAAAGCTAAGAGGTGCGAAAAGGAACATGCGATATAACGATATGTGTTCCCAAAACTCTGATTCTACAGCTCACCAATCAAGGCCATTTCAACATAACGAAACGAACATCATCTTCCACAGCGCGAGTCGACGACATCGGAACGTAAGAGAAGAGTCTTATATCGCTATATCGTTTTCTTATATCCTTGCGTGTCTTATATCGCTATATCGTTTTGCGCTGGTTGTCTTTACTCGACGGCTTAAATCAGATTTCTGATGCATCGCCTTGAATGAAAGTAGCTGTATCGTCGTGCCGATATATGCGTTAAATCGATATGTCTCGATACATCGATTTATAGCCCAGTCCTAGTTGTAACTCAATGCAAGCATAATTAAAAGATACTAGTGGGCTGCGCAATCTTATATGGTTTGCTTCGCTCGCTACTAACTTAGGTGCATTGCAAATGCACAAAATTCTAAGAATTCAAAACAATCATTCAAATCCATATAACAACTTTTTTTTAAAAAAGAAATTACATCTTTTTAGTAAATACTAAGTCATTAAAATAAATTTGAATTAAAATAAATGACATGTAATTCGTTAAACCTATTAGAAATGTGCTATAGTATAAAATCTTAAGATAAAATTTCTAAAACTGATATCTCTTTAAAAAGGTTAAAATTTTGGTTATAATTAAGTCCATTAAAAATTGAACTAAGTGAATTGCAATGGAAAAACCAGCATAAACAAATAAATTCTAGTAAAACAAATAAATTCGTAGCATAAATAAAAAATCGTCAAATAAATTCGTAATACATAAATTTGTGAAAAAAAGCGCTTTCCACAAAATTCTAAAATAGAGATCTATCAACAAAGACTACTCACTTCTGCCTAGCTTATGCTCTCTCTGGTTATTTCAGTTTCCGTTTTTAAAAGCGCTATATGTTGAGCCATCTCAGCTAGATTTGACATGTGACATTTTTAGCAGCAACCATTGGTCGATTTTCTAGCGTTGCCATTCGGGGAGTTGTAATGAGGCTTTTTTTTGTCGCCGTGTAAGAGAAATATATATATAGATTCCAGAATTTCGTTCTTATTATTTACAGCTGGGATAATTTAAGTGCATTTTTCGACAGTCATTATGAAATATAAATTTAATATAATTTATCTAAAAAGTAGTGGTTCAAAGGGACATAAACAGTAAAATTATATAAGGGAGGTACCTATTGTGGCGTAAAATGACATTTTTGATCATAGTTCGCTACCTGCTTTAGAAGTTAGAAGCTCTTGTCAGTTCCTCTTGTTATGAATCATCCTATATGCATCAATCTGAATAAATATCAGTCTTATCAAGTATATAAAGAATACTAATCAGAAAAATGAAAAGAAACTTTTATTTATTGCATTTCAAGTCTTCAATTTGTATTGTTAAATCTCCAAACTCGTGTTTGAATTTGGATAAATTTGATGATGAGATTATGACTTCTAATATAAGGTAATTGGCATCATCGGTATCTGCCATTGCATCTCTTATTGCTGCTTCTCTTAACAGCCAACTATAAATTAATAATAAAAAAAATCAGTTAAAAATAAAACATATTTTATTTAAATTTTTATATTTGCTATTATAAAAATTATTTCCAATTGAAGAAAAAAAAGGGAGGGGGGAGGCAAAAGTTCAGGAGCATCCTCTTCCTTAATTTTCACAATGCTTTCAAAGGTTATGAACTTTTTTCTAGAGGAATTATTTACAAAATAAAGCAAAAGTAACTCGATACTGAGAAGAGATTGGGCCCTCTTTGCAGCGCTGGAAGTCCAAAATATAAAATTTAGGACAAAATTGCCTCTAAAATTAAAGACAACTTAAGGATGCTGATTCTTTAATGGGAGCAATTTGTAATCCCAGCATGGATTCACAGATATACAATTGGTAATAGTTTTAGTAGTTCTTGCACTTAAGTGAAAAAGAAAAATTTTTTAAAAAAATCTCAGTTTTTTTGTAAAAGTTATGCAATTTTTTTTAATACAAAAAAAAGGAGAGAAAATTGACTAAATATGGAAAAGTAGTAGCAAAATACGAGGATTCTCTAGTGAAAAACAGTAGAGTATGATATTGTGATGAGAAAGAAGTAGAGAGAAGAATTAACTTATAATAAGAACTTATTATATATTTCTCCAACATCGAATGCTTTTATGCCATCAAATCAAGGGTAATTGTCTCTAATACTGGAAGTGGATTAATATCGTACTTGATGAGCTATGTTGTTCATTTTGTTATTTACTTTTTTTCATGGCATACAATAAGGGTGCACAACCTGCGGCCTGCAGACTGTTGATGTGCAGCCTGGGGGAACTTCTGAACGCAATAAAAATATTTCTTTTAACATTTCAAATTTTCATTAACATTATACATTTTTTAATTAAAATATTTAATTCAAATTTATATTACTCTATAAAATGCACACATTTTTTGCACTTTCATTCTGCAACCTTCTTTTTGGTTAGAATTTATACCACCCTCTCAATATTTATATATATATATATGTTTGATAAATTAATTATTGTAAAAAATGGAAAAAAATTTATTTTTAAAATCAGTTTTTTTAGTTTTAAATAATTTCAAATAATTAAAGTATTTAATATTTGCAAATATGTTATTAAGTTTACTGATAAAATATTTAGTGCTTAGAAAGCTGATGTCTGTATAAAAATTATCATATTTGATGCTAACATGACTAAATATGAGTGCAGCCCTTCATTAATCTACCTGCTGTGCAAATGGCCCTTCACTCAAAAGAAAGGTTATGCACCCGTAGCATATAACATAGTTTTTGAATTAGAAATCCTTTTTTAGATAAATAATATTTTTTCTTTCTGTTAACTTCAACAAAAATTTGGAAAAAAAATCCCGAAAATTTCAGGACATTTATTGAAATTTTTAATAATTAAGGACATTTAAGGGCACTTTCTTTTTTTAAGGATAACTTTGGGCCCTGTCTTTGTGTTGGTAGTACATTAACATATAAACAATTTAATTCACACAGATAACTTCAAGAATTTTAGCTTGATTAGTAACATAAGATAATTTAAATCTTTAGAAACTTAAATCCACTTAATGCGTTTTAAATTAAATTAATTACACAATATAATGATTAAATGAGAAATATATTACCTATACTCTTTACCACCATTAGGCACTCTCAATAGTTGAACATCAAATTCTGTATTTTCAAACAAGTTTTGTTCTAGGGATTCTAAAAGTTTTGGCAGTCCTGTTCCATCAGTTGCAGAAATATATAGTGCATCAGAATCCTGATGTAAATTGGGGCTAAAAAAATAAATAATTCATATTTTTTTAAATAGTATTTTACTGCAATCTAAATTAACAATTAAAAAGTAAGCTAATGTTACAAATATTAATAAGCAGTAATACCTTCTTTAATGAAACATGGAAATAACTCAATAATATAGTTTAATCAACTATATAGAGTTTTTCAAATTATAGTACCATTATTAATAGCTTAAAATATTTAAAAAGGTATTTTCCAGGGTCTTTAAAAAGACCTAAATTATTAAAAATTTAAAAAAAAAACTTAACTTTAATTTAAAAAAACAAAACAATGTGATTAAAATAGTACATTAAATAATCATAAAAAATGTTCTGTAATTTGAAGGATGATTTAGCCATTTTCCCTTGTTTTTCACAACATGCACTATAGTTTTTTTAAGATATATTGCATGTAGTATATGTTAAAAAACTATCTTCAATATAAAAAATTACACATTATTAATTCTAATAGATGAAAATAAAACTAGTTGAATAAAATTTTCCGCTTACTCATCTATTAAATCAATTTTATTTCTAACTTCTATAATTGAATTCATCAATTTTTCTGGCAAATTTAACTCTTCTAAAGTTTTTAGAACTGTTTCTTTCTGAGCCTCTGTATCAGGATGGCTAATATCTCTGACATGAATGACAATATCCTGTAAAAAAAAAAAAAAAATTAACATGCATAATTGACAGCAATGCAGTTCAAAATTAACAGTTATCTTAGAAAGCAAAATATTAAGAAACTTTATATTAAGGCTTAACAAGTCACATAATACAACACATAAATTAAAACTTTAAATTATATGCCATGCACTATACTTTGAAAACACAAAATATGTTACAGATTATAATAAATTAAAATGATAAGTGGTTATTATTTCTTCCTTTTACTTTTAATAATGTTGAGGCAAACTCCACACTTATTTTTTGTAATACACTAGTTAAACATTTTTATTAAATTTTGCACAATGTATAAAATATTAAGAAGAAAACCCCTCCAAAGATTTGTCGTAGTTTTTAAGGTAAAATTTAAAAAAAATTTCTTTTTTTAAAAAATTGTTAGGTTTTCTACATTCTAATAATAATACAGATCAGGAAATCTGAATTAATCTGTTAAATTTTTTAGTGAAAAAATTTCACTTTTATTCCATTAACAGAATGGACATCATGAGATGATTTTCCACTAAGCCACTTACTTTCTTACAATTATGATTAAAAAAAAATAATAATATTTTACAATATGATTTTTTTTTTAAAATTTTATAACCAGCGTTGAACCAGAAGACAAGGGAACACCTTGATCAAGCATTGGGACAAACTAACCTCCGTGGAGGACTTCTCAATGGAACTAACCTTCATTTGCATTACATGAAGAGGAAAACAATGAAAACCTCCTATGGTTAGCCCAACGGCAAGGAGATTCTAACCCATGATCTGTCTACCACTGAAGATATTTTATGTCAGCACTGTGGTTGATGCAAACCAGAAGTAGTATTCGTATCAACCAGCTGCTGCTGGGATTCAAACTTGGGTCACCTCATTGGGAGAACGCTCTATCCTCTGAGCCACCATGGATCACACTTATATGATTGAAAAGTTGTAAAAAAAATATAAGTATGTATATAATACTGAGTAATATTTAGAATTTTCCAGACAGAATATTTTGATCACATGCTGCTCATGTTAGGCAGTGAAGCATCATCTCACACTGGTCGCAGTTCAGCAGCAAAAGTGTTAAATTGTGAACTTTTTATACCTTACATCAGGGGTGTCAAACTCGCGGCCCGAGATGAACATTTTTGTGGCCCAGTCAATATATCCGATGCAAAGTAAAAATAAATTAGAAAGGAAACTAGCATATGAAATTATAATATACTTTATTTATAAACTATACGGATCATTTCAAATTGTACGTGCGAAAATGCAAAATTCTAATTGGCTTGCGGCACCTGCCATTCTAGGGATACTGCATCGTATCAAAAATACGCAGAAAAAACTTCAAATCTTAGAACGGAATTTGAAACAAGGTTTAAAGATTTAAATTCCTCGGAAAACAAATTTTGTTTGCTTTCATCCCTATTCTCAATAAATATAGACTCCAGTAGTATGCAAATGGAAGTGATTGAGATTCAGTGCGACTCAAATTTGAAGGCAAAATTCATTGAAGTGGTTATGTCTGAATTTTACAAATATTTACCGGCAAGGTTTGAAAATACTCGAAAATTCGCATATGAAATTATTTCCATGTTTGGAAGTACTTATCAGTGCAAGCAATTATTTTCTGTTATGAATGGAAATAAATTTCCTGTCCGAAACCGTATTAATAACGCTCATGTTGGGTCAATTTTGAAAGTAGTCTCAGCCAAAAAAATTTCTCCCGAAATAGGAAAGATAGTAGCAGAGAAGAGATGTCAAGTATCAAACAATAATTTAACTTAATATATGTTTACTACAATGTGCTATTCAAAATAAAAATATTTGTTTCTATGAAGATTGATATTTTTTTTCTTCCTGTGGCCCACCTAAAGTTAAGCATTGTTTATTTGGCCCAAGTTAGCTTTTGAGTTTGACACCCCTGCCTTACATAGTCAAAATTAAAATAATCAAATTTATTATTTTCCAATTCGTTAATAATTCTAAAATTCAATTATATAAAATTTTCCTTTTCTCTTAGAACGTTTCTAGCAAATAAAGATGCACCAGAACATGCTAAATATTCCGTCCCTTTATTCATACAATAATCAAAGATTCCTATGAACTTGAAAAGTGTAAAATACATACCGCTAATGCTATTTCTTCCAATGTAGATCTAAAAGATTGTATCAAAGTTGTAGGGACATTAGAAATAAATCCAACAGTATCAATAAAAAGAATTTTTTGATTGGACGGCAGTAGACCTGGATGAAGTGTTACATCGAGTGTAGCAAATAGTTTATCTTCAGGTTGTAAACGAGTGTCATTGGTCAATGACTTAATCAATGTTGTTTTACCTATAAACATTAAGAAAATATGTGTCATACGAATAAGAATATACTTAAACTTACATTTTCTCAATAAAAAATAATACTATGCAAGTATAGTGATATTAATGATACATCAAAGTAATTACCACAGTTTGTATAACCAACTACAGCAGCAATCGGCAGGGCATTCCTACTTTCACTTTTCCTTATGAACTCTCTTTGATTTTTAATTTTTTCAAGAGCTTTTTTCAATTTTAATTCTCGCTCCTAGATAGATAAAATATTTATGTCACTTTTCATCGTTATACATTTTAAAGACAACATTTAGTGAACATGTTTATTATTAATAATTACTTTTATTATAAAAATGATTATTTTTAAGCATTAAACAATATTTATCAACTGATTACATAATTTTGCAGGGTCAAACAGTTTTTTTCTCATTGCTATTACTCATAAAGCCCGAATCAGAGTTCTCTTTAAGAACAAAAAAGGGCAAGGCACTTCCTCTCTGAAAAGGGCAGTTGGAGTTTTGAAAGGGCACTCACGTAACACAGTAAAAATTTATGAAAATGCCTAATATTATGCAATAACTGAAGCTTTTTCTTAAAGTTTTTAAATTACCCTCTTATACTATATTATCTGTAAATTTCAAAAAGTATTTTTTTTCAGTAAAACAAGAGAAAATTTTTTAGTTAAAATAATAATAAAATAATTAAAGGCATGCTAAAATCAATATCTTTATTTTTTTTTCTCCAAAAAAGTAAAACAAAAAATGATTTATTGGTAAAGAATGTGAAAGTCTTTTTTTCCATATTTTACACTGAAAACTATGAGAGAATGAACATTTAAAGGAGCATTTTTTTCTTTTACAAAAAAAAAGGTATTTGTTTAAAAATAGTTTTAAAATTTAAAATTACTTAAAAAATTTATTAATATCTCCCCGAAAAAAGACACTTTTTTCAGAGGTTTAACCAGTTGAGAATAATCCTAACAAAGTAAATATTTGTAATACTAATCTGAATTAAACCCACAAACACATATAATTTTATCAATGTATAATAAATGGTGAATTAAGTGCTTTTGAGGGATGGCGGCATTTTTTTACAAAAAGGGCAAAAAGAGGGTGCATTTATTGGGATCAAAGGGAAAGCAGGGTGGACTGCCTTAAAAAAATGCTTATGGAGAACACTGCAGTCAAAAAAATTTTTTAAATAAGAATTTTTGAAATAAAAACAGAAAACTTAAAAAAAAATTTTTTTTTATAGCAATAAAATAACTTACATTCAAAAGGCGTCTACGCATTTCCATAAATGTCTCGCCTTCCCCTCCTACATGATTCATTCCAAAGAACACAGTTGAAAATCGTGTATGTTCATGGATAGCAAGCTTTATCCTGAAATTGAACATAGCAAATAAGATAAGAAAATAATGGATACCATATATTTCCAAATATAAGCTTATTCATGTATAAGCCATAGAGTAGGCTATCTATTTGGAAATTCAACCAAATTTAAAAATTGTATATTAGACGACATACGAAAAATAAGGAATGCTGTGCTTGGAAATAAAAATGTGCTCCCTCTCTTTTAACCCCTTAACGATCGGTTGATTTTCAAGAAAACGTTCATAAAAGTGCTTATTTTTTTATCCAATCACAAATACATATATTTGATTAGTGCTGACATCTAGTTTAAAATAAACTAATTATCTACAATTACCTTAAAAATATCCTGCTACTGCCATCTGGTGTGTAAAATGAGAAATAAAATGTTTTCCAGGCAAAAGAAATGAATTAGTTTTATTCTTATTGGCGTGTTACTACTGAACACTCCTGCCCGAAATTTCATGGGAGCGAGAAATAGAGGGTGAAACCTCACCCATCATTTTCACGGGAGCGAGAAGGAAGGGGTTAATAATGGTAGATCTAGAAAGGGCTGCACTGTGGGTAAAAGAAGCATGGATCCTCCAATTTTCTAATAAGAAGATTAAAGAATACAAGTATTCCATTTAAATTGTTCTATTTATGTGTTCCTTTTTCAATTTTTATATTTAGGCATTCTGTTTTCAACTTTTATGTCTTGTATGAACCTTTCATCATGTTTACTGATTATCGTTAAAGCTTGGCAGAAGAAGAAATATTGATGTCCATCAGGAATTTTTCAAAGTTAGTGCATCCGATTATAAGCTGATCCCCAACTTAAACTTTTGGAAATTTGCTAAAAATTCATGGCTTATATTCGGAGAATACGGTATATAGTTAAGAGGATGGTATGCAGCCAAGAAATCTCGAAATGCAAAATTTCTTTCACCTACAAAAGTAATTGAAAATTTAAAGTATAGAAAAAATAAGTTAAAGTAAACAAGAAAGATTCAACTGATTAAAAAAAGACTTTCAAAAAATCATGATGCTTAGAAATTATGACAGGATAACATAGGGTTAAGAAGTAAAAAACTTGTCCTGCAATAATTTGTTTGCATTTTGATAACATTATTTCAACATTGGAAACTCCATGGTTTACTGTTTACCCTGGTTCTTTTCTAATGAATTTTGGAGATAGTTGCTCTTTACTAGTAATAATTTAGATAAGTCATTTTAGGACTTCACATTTTATTTGACAAGGACGACATTTAACACATGTAAACTAACGGAAAATAACAATCAGAGCAAACACTTACATTTGTTCCAGTTGAAACCTTCTTACAATCTGAAGTAAACATTAAAGTTCAGAGCGCCCTCTCTTGGGCAAAAGAATAAAATTCGAGTTGTTCCTTTTTCTATAAACATTTAATTTTAGAATACTGATAGAGGTAAAACAGAATTTGACATTAAAAATTTCTACAGCAGTATAGTATTCCCTCTGAAAGAAGAAGAATAGTAGAAATGCTTCATGGCAAATTTTGTTTTTCCTACATTAACTTTTAAAAAAAAAAAAAAAAAAAGAGTTCAGGTAAATTAAGTGAATACCATCAAAATGCGAAATATCAAAATGCATACAAATTATTGCAAGATTACTCTGGATTACACATCAGGAAAATAATCCTTTCATCATTTATTTGCATTTTGATATTTTGCAAAGAAAATTTTAGCATTTAAAACTTTATGATTTAACTGAACTCCCTTTTTTTAATACTTTGAACTTTAAATTACTAATGCAAGCAAAATAGAACTTTTCATGAAGCCTTTTCCCACACTATAACATACTCCTTAGTTGATACTTGACTTAATCTCTCACCTTAAATATGGTATTTCTGCTAAAGCAAGTTGTAACTTAGCTTCCTTGGTATGAGCATGTTCATGAAAAATCTGCAGAATTATTTGATACCTAAAAAGCAATTCAATAACATTAACATGCAAGTAAACATAAACAAGAAATAAAACTCCATTAGTGCAATTTTTTTCCATTGAATATAATGAACAAGCTTTAAGTGTTGATTCATATTAGCAAAATAGTGATAAAGTAATTCTGATGAATTAATTTTCTACAAATTCAATTTCAGAAGAAGAAATTTTAACATAAAATCAAGGTTCCACTGTGTATAAATATTTACAAATGTATATATTTTCAATAAAACAGGGATGAGATTAGCCAAAAGGCAAAAAAGCTGAATTTCCACGATCGTAAATTTACGCAAGCGCAACCCTTTAATAATAAATTCCAGACAGTTTAAAGTAATAAATAATGTGTTGACATACAATTGTGTACTAATCTATTATTATATAAATGATTACATTGCTACTTAACATTTAGTGAAAATAAAAATTACCAATTGAAAAAATAAAGCTGGAAATTATATTTTTCCTCAGTTCACATAAGAGACAATTATTACTTGAAAAACTACCTGGTTTAGCAAATTAAAACTACTGAGAATATACATTAATATTTCATTTCTTTTAATAAATACTGTTATGTGATTTATAGCAAATATATCAGTAATATTACTTTTTAAATTATATTGGGAAAAAAAAACTTTAACAATGGACCAAATCATTATGTTCATGTTATAGTCTAATCTAACTACAGCCCTTTGAAACATATCAATAACAGTGAAGTAGAAATATATAGTAACTCCTTAACATACAAAAATTGGTATTTTAGTTTGAAAAATTACATGACAATCAGCAACTGTTTAGATAATTGTTTTTTATTTGATAAGAATTTTGCATTTTATAGCATAAATAACAGCAATTACAAATAAAATTTTGATGATGAGTTAACTCTTTTAACTATTAACTCTTTTTCCAACAAAAAAAAATTAAATTGAATCCCTTTTTAAGTTATTGCTTTTGTTTCCTATATCTTTTATGTTTGCTATATTTAGTCGTTAGTCCATTTTCAAACATCTTGTGACAAATCCTATTTTTTCTTCTTTGCAAGCACAGAATGTAAGTTTTGAATATATTCCCTTCCAGTTTCTCTGATGTTGTAACACTTACATATACATACTAATAATCGTCGTTAGAAAAACAGTCACTTTTATAGTAACTAATTTTTAAAAAAAATTTACTTCTTACAAGAATCGCGAGAGTTGATCTTAAAATTGTGTGAATATGAATAACAATTATGGATTTTGAAATCACATGAATATGAAACTAGATATACGATTTTGAAAATGAGAAAATACAAACTGGGATATAGAATTTTTAAAACGCGTAAATACAAATCCCGATTCATAATTTTTAGATCGCGTAAATACGAATCATGATGCGTAATTTTTAGATTGCATAAATAAGAATTATGATGCATAATTTTTAGAATGCGTGAATGCGAATCCCAATGCCTTATTTTAAAATCACGTATAAATGAAAATCAATGTTTGATATTATAAACAGCATGAGCAAATCAAGACATTGAATTTTAAACTTGCGGGAATACGAATCGCTTCATAGGTTTTTAAAAAGGCGTAAATACGAAGCACGACGTACAATATTCAAATCGCGTGAATAAGAATCTCAACACGCAAATATGAAAAGCTATGTTTGATATTAAAATCGTGTGAATAAGAATCGAGATATTGGCAGACTCCAGGCTTGGGACCTCTAAATGGCTTGTCAGAAACAGCGTCGTTTGAACTACAAAAATCGGATCTATCTGGAGGGCGGGTAAAAAATTCGGAAAATCTTATCTGCTGCGAGTAAAAGGGGAGAAAATAGCTATAATAAGTAAAAATGAGAAAGGATTGAGCTATGTAGTTTGAATTTTCTGTTTCTCTTTGAAAATTGGTGAATTTTCTGAAAAAGCGGAATACTTATATAAAAAAGTGAAATTTTTAGAAAAATCTGAATTTTTGATAAAAAAAACTGAAATTCAAGAGATAAAAATGAAAAAAGTGGAAATCCGCTAAAAAGCGGAAAAATCTCATCCCTGATAAAATGAGTATACACACCTAAATCAATATTGCTGCTATGCTCACAAATGCCAGGAAAAAAAATAGTTTAAAATTAAAAATGAAATATGATATATAACATAGGTTATGTTTAAGTGATTATATATCTTTTTATAATATAGAGTGACAAGGGTCAAACAGAGATATGGTGAAGTGTGACAAAGTGAAAGAGAGGATAAAAAATATTGAAAAAAAATTGTGGCATTATTTATGGATGGTCCAAAAGTTTAAATTTCTAGCGCATTACGTCAATCTTGATCAATTCATAGATTAAAAATTTTACAAGTTTAATACATTTTGAAGAAGCACTAATTACTTTTTACTAGTGTGGTTATTTTTCAACATTGAAAACATAACAAAGAAGTCAAAATAATTAAATATATATATAAAAAGAAAGAACTGTAAAGATGACAAAATATCCTGGATGCTGATGAAAATTTAATTGGATGAATTAGTTAGACATGAGATTTGTCCAAAATCTCATGTCTAACTAATAATCTATATGTCACAGGAAATCTTAGCTGTATTTTAAGTTAAATTTTTATACATTTCTGCAAAATTTTTTACATTTCGAATATAATGTTTGAAAGGTTATCTAAATACATATCCCCAAAATTTGAGGCTGTTACAAAATAATTTTTGCAGTCGCAACAATTTAAAGAAAAATGTTTTAAGACAGAAAGAGTTCCCTCGCACTTTTATCAGAACTTAAAAGTATGAGAATAATGCACAGTAGAGGCTTTGAGTTCTCTAAAGAAACAGATGGAAAATTATATTGAGCAAGATTTTTTATTGAGATAATTTTATCTATGAACGCTTTTATGAAGTATACATGAATAGAGATCTCCCTAAAAATAAAACAGGTGCTCTTCGGTATTATTTTATATCACCACATTATCTTACCGCTAACACCAAGAAAAAATATTTTCTGAAACTGTAGAAAATCTGCAGTAATTAGAGGGCATGTAAATATGTCCAGTTTCAATTTTAATGGAAAAAAAGTTTCGTTTAGAGGCTACTTTATAAAACAAACCTGTCAAATACTTGTACTTTAAAATAGTCTTCTAATTTTGCATTTTGAACAGCAGTTAAAACATCAATACCTATGAAAACTGCTGTAATTGCTGGATTTCTTCTTATGATCATCTTAATTTTTTCCAGATTTCCTTTTCCAAAAAGGAGACTAGACTTCAAACTTGTCACCGGAATTATATGCTAGATAAAAAAATTAGAAAAGAACTAAAGGTTAGATTTTGAAACATAGATTTTAAATAAGACAATAAAAATTAGAAAAGACAATTAAACAAGAGCATATTTCCATATTGGTTCCCGTTTGCACCCATTGAATTTGGATAACAAACCACACCATGTATGAGCCAGGTTCTTACTCCAGCAATAAATTGACAAGTGTATGCATTTATTTAGATACCCAGTGACATAATTTTTTCGAGCTATCTGCGACAAAACTCTCTAGCATTAATATCTTTCTGAAAGATACTTTTAATAATTTACTAATTTAAAATAACAAAAGAGCTGTGTTTACAAAAAAAAAGCTATAATTTTTAAAGTTGAACATGCAATAATATTTTATTCTAATATTAAGGGTGATATTCCTACATTTTGTTGGGGGGGTGGGGGAGCGCAAAAATTATTTTTTTCTTCGCATTTTGTAAATTGATCCAGTAATTGCCGAAAAAAAAGATTGCCGACGAAATCGCCCAAATCGGACTTCTCAAATGCGTGTGTTTCTTTTAGAGATTAGGTTGTTGTAATAAAAACTATCGAATTTAAAAACAAGACATTAATAGCAATAACTGTCAAAAATTCAATAGAATTATTGCCTTAAAAAGTAAATATTCAAGTGCATGATTCGTATTTTTCCATATTGTTCGAAATATATCGGGATATTTAACAACCATGTGCTAAAAATACAATCGAAACATTACATCGACTTATAATACTATCGGCATAAATTGAGCGTGTCAAAAAGTGATTATCTAACTGTATGATTAAAATATTATGGGTAAACTTCTATAGAAAAGAAAAGTAGATTTTTTTTACTTTTCGAAAGAAAATCTTTATGCAAGAACTCTGTAAAGTTCTGCACCAATGTCGCCGTGTTGCTCCGTTTCTGTCACGGTATATATATATGGTGTATATATATATATATATAATAACATTATGAATTAATAGGTGGTCCTACTACAGCATAGTATGGTAGAAAATATCAGGCAGTGGCACTTAACCTTGAAAATACATCAGTACAGGGTAACCGGGCAATGGCACCAAAAGAGTCAAAACTCAAAATAAAATAAAAACTTAAACTATTAACACTATGATAACAAACTAAAATGAAAACAACACCTGTCGTTCAGCATAAAATATTAAATAATTAGTAGAAAATGTATGCAATTTCCTGAAATTTGATATATAATTTTCCAGTTTAATAAAACTCTCTAATTTTTCTCTGTTCTAGGGCCACTCAGCTTATTAGGGTGACCCGGGGTAATTCACGATCACTCTGTTTCTGGGGTAAACAATGAACACCTAAGTTTTATTTTAAAAAAATAATTTTTTCCTAAATTTGAGACATGGACAAGAATGCTTGTACACTTTACTAAGGTATAACTACATTTACTTAATAATAGTTTTTTGTTTAATCTAACAAAATAAGCATCTTTTAAACTGCTTTCTGTATTTTAAATTTCAAAGATGGATTTCAAAAAGTGCACATTTCTGCAAAGATCTCCCTCCTTCTCTTAATAATAAATATTTTGAGTTACTTTCTCTTTCTTTGATATGAAAATAGTGTAAGCTCTTGTTTAATTATTTCACATCTACTGTAAACATTATAATTGATTATAGGAAACTATATCAAATGTTGCCCCCTACAGATGGGGTAATTATTGATCACTGGAGTAATTCCTGATCATTGTCATTTCTTTTCATAAATAGTATCAAAATAAGCTAATAAATAGGTAATTGTCTTTTCTTAAGTAACAGTTCATATTTATCAAGTGGAACGACTATAAAATATATTTTAACCCAATTTAATCACAAAATTTGTTTTTAACTGTATGCTAGACAAATGTGTTCCGATTTGTCTTACCTTGCTTTTATCTTAATTTTATGTGCGTACATTGTTAGAATAATTTTTAAGTTTATAAAATAGACTAATATAAATATGGTGAGAAATTATAAGCCTAAAAAGGATACTAAGCTTCTAGAAAGCAAAATTAGTTCTAGTAATTAAAATTCTTAATTAGTAAATTTCTTTTAGTGATTGAAAATGAAAATTTCAGTGTGAGAGCTGTTGACATACCTTACTTAACTTTACACTCTCCCTTAATGAAGTTACAAAATCCAGCAAAAGTAACTCATGTGGGAACTCTTTCTTATATTCCAGCAGAACATGAGAATGAGTTGGCTGCTTGCCTAAAATGTATGGCACAATACAAAGATTTTTGGAAAATTTAAAGTGTTAACCTTTATTTTTGCTTTTTAAATAAATCGTTTTGTTAGCTGCTTAAACATATATTTTAGGTTTATTTGTTTGATCTTGATGTCTTATTTGTTAATTACCACTGTATAATTATTTTTAAATAGCCCCTTTATGATTAAAACTGGTGATCAGTAATTACCCCAGAAGTGATCAGGAATTACCCCAGAAAAGATCAAGAGAAGGGGTAATTCTTGATCACTAAAAATTTAAAATTCTAATTAGATTTTCAAACAATACAAGGTAGCCTAGGACTAATCTCATATAGCCTCAAACTTCCATCAAATATTATAATTCCATCTTGAATAGTTTTCTTACAAAATTGATGTTTGCATTTTTTGATCAGGAATTACCCCAGGTCACCCTATACATTGCATAAATATAAAATCGACTCTAACATTAGGGAAGATTTCCGTATCGTAATCTACACCAAAATAATCGTCCCATGAGAAACGAAGGAAAATATTTCACAGTAACTTCTTCATATAGGGGGGGGGGGGAATAANATCTAACCAATACAAGCTTTTTTTTTTTTTTAATTTCGAAAATTGCAAGTTTAAATCAGTTTGGCACCTTAGCGATTGCAGTTTACGTGACAGATTACGATACGGAAATGCGTCCTTACATCTTCATGAACTTTCCAGTCTTTCAACGTTTTTACAAGCGAAACCGCTTCAGATAATTTTAACTCTGCAATGGACTTTTTTTCCCCATCTGGACCCTGCTTAACTCGAGGCTGTATTATCAGTACATTATGTCCTTGCTCAGGATGTCTGTATAGTTCTTTATTTACATAATCTACATTTGTCCCTGGCAGATCTAAATCTTTTTCTTCATTATTCGATCCGTTTTTAGAACTAAATGATTTACCGATTTCTCCATAAAATAGCATACCACGAAAATATTTAAATTTGCACGACATCTCTCTTGTCCTTATTTCATTCGTGGATAATTTCAATGAGGGTTTTGAATGCATGCAACAGTAAGGGAAATGCAATTTGAGAAGATGATGTAGTTTGCACAGTCTTAGTTTACTAACAAGAGGCATTGCTATATATATAATTTTTCACTGAAAAATACGAAAACTTTTCTTGGCAAAATTAAAAGAAGCATTAAATGTTCATAAAAAGAGATTTTAGAAAATAGCGCAGTTTCAATAGAGCAGTTCATAAAATTTGATTTGTTTATTTTTAAAAATATTAGACAGTTTCCGGCTATCAGTTTTTGTTCACTTATCTACCTTATGTTTAGCTTTTTCAAGTGAATTTATATTTTATTTCACCAGTTACTGCTAATATATGGCAATATGAGTGAAAAATTAATGTCACCGTTAGCAGTTGCTAACTGTTAATTTCTTCTATCACTGTTAAAGTGAAGCATTGACACTAGTCTTTTGATGAATAAAGTTAAGCTTCAAATATCAGATTTAGAGAACTGTTTGGTCCCTCAGTGGACTGATCGTTAAGACACGGTTCCCAGCAGGTTACCGAAGTCAAGTATCACTGGCTGCGGTCAGTGTGCGGGTGGGTGACCACTTGGATCAGTCTGCATGGTGACCGAGTGTGCGCGATATGGGNCTAGCGCGGGATAACAAAAGATGGAGTTGAGTTGAGTCGCTGCAAGGCGCATTTACACTGAAGATAAAATACATGACACATCCCTTCTGCAAAGGATCACAATTGTGATGGTATGTCTTCGGATCATCCTCAGGGATGTTTCCCAGACCGTCGCCAATAGCCCATTGTGCAGCTCTAGAGCGACGTAAATGAACTACTACTACTACTACTAGAGAACTGATTAACCCTTTGGGTCGTAAAAAATTATAACGGAACAGTCGTCACTTGAACACCAAAAATGAAACGATTTGCTTCTCTCTTCATTCTTCAAAATAAAAAGCAGAACATGCAAAACCGCGTTGTAACAATCAATCAGTAGTTGATGCAAAACTGACAACATTCTCACAGGTTGTTCTTGTAGTTCATTTAGGTCGCACTAGAGCTGCACAATGGGGAATTGGCAACGGTCTGGGAAACATCCTAGAGGATGATCCGAAGACATGCCACCACAATTGTGATCCTCTGCAGAGAGGATGGCTCTCCCGTTTCGGTAGCCCGTCGACCTGCACGCGAAGTCGAGCATTTTACACTAGAACAGTTTAACGAGGATCAATGCCACACTACATCGGTCCTCATGCAGACTAATCCAAGTGGTCACCCACCCGGACACTGACCTCAGCCAGTGATACTTGACTTCGGTGATCTGCTGGAAACCGTGTCTTAAACGATCAGTTCACTGCGGGACAACATTCTCACAAGTTTGAATTGACTTACAGTTTGCAAAGCAGCGATGGAAATGTTTAAGATTCACAATGATGCTATAAATTGAAGTAAGGAGGTGATCCCCGACAATGCGGGACTCATTTATAATAAATCTTGTTTAATAGTACAAAATGAAATTTGTGGATAATCCCTTATCATTTTGTGCTTTCCTTCAAAATGTGCAAAAACTACTTAGGAAATTGCTCGAAACTTTTTAAATTTTTAAGATTTTCAAATAAAGTTTTTATTATTAGTTGCCAAATACAATTCTTAAAAAAATATTAAATTTTTTTTTTTTTTTTTAAAAATATTTTCTACGTTTTCTCAGTATAATAGAAATAGCTTAAAAATTCATATCTTGAACAGTTTTCAACGAATTGTTTTTTTTAAATTCAAAATCAAAATTTTTGATATTAATCTTAAATTTCTCTAAAAAATTTTTTTAATTCCAATGAATATTTATGAATGAAGTTATATTTAAAAAGAGAAAAAAAAACATAAGACGGAAAAATTAACTTGATTGTATGATTGATTGTGTATTTTGTTTCTGGCTTATATTATTTGGCCCCAATTCTAATTATTATGCAGCGCAACTACCAAAAATTACTTTAATCGAATAAAAAATATTGATTTGTTTAAAAAAAATCATTTTGACATAATTTTGAGGATCGAGTTGAATACACATTTTTCTTTCCAGTGGAAAAAATAATTGGCGATCGAAATGGGCTGCAGGTGGCGTTGAGCAGAACTTTTTTCCTATGGCAACACTTCACATCCTTTCCCCATTAGCGTGTGGAAAGTCATAGAGGAAGGAAGTACGTTAGTTTCTCTCTTGATTTTCATATAGATTGAAATCCTTTAACTTGAAAAACTATATGGAACTGAAAACTACATTAAACATAGTTCTAAAGAAAAGTATTATGGAAATTTTAAAAAATATTCTTATTAAATAAAAAGGAAAAATATTAAGAAAAGGGAAAATATCGTAGTACATTCCTATACAACTGAAAAGAGGAGGAGAGGGAAGGGAGAAGGGCTAAAAGCATGAAACCGGTCTCTCCCCAGATGGCGTATTCGAGTGTTGCGATCGCGAATTCGCCGAAACACAATTTTATTCGTCAAATTTACGATATTATCCTAAGTTTCTCGAAAAATTTTCTTTAATTCCATTGAACATTTAAGAATGAAGTTATAGCAAAAAGGAGAAAAAAAACGCAAGACGAAAAAATTAACTTGATTGTACGATTGATTGTATGATTGATTTTGTGATTGATTGTATTATATGATTGATTACATTATTGTTTGATTGATTGAATGATTAATTGAAATTATGAATGGATGGATTTGTTGATTGCGTGATTAATTGATTTTATGATTGATTGTGATATTGATTGCATGATTGATTAATGAATGATTGCTTGCTTGAAGGATTGATTGTATGATTGATGAAAGGACAGATTGATTTTATGTTTGTATGATTGATTGCATGGTTGCATAGTTGATTGTATCATTAATTGTATGATTGATTACTCATACATATCATATTTCAAATTTAGCAATTAAATTTAAAGCTTTCAGACCATTGAGAGGCCCATAAATAAATTACGATAGAAAACAGCTATTTTTGAGCACCCTATTCCAGAAAATCAAACAATAAGCTTCTAACTTGTATCGATTGCTTTAGTTATTATTTTAATAACTCCATAAAGTTTCGTAAGCCAAGAGTAAATATTTATGAAAAAATGGACATTTTTTATAAAATATTCATTTTTTCGTTATAACTTTATAAATATTCATTGGAATTAAACAAAATTCCATTGAATTTATAAGTTATTTTATAGGATTGATTGATTGTATGATTGATTGATTATTTGGTTGTATGATTGATTAATTGTATGAGTGATTGTTCGATTAGTTGATTCATTTTATAAATGAATGGGTATATGGATGGATTGATTGCATAATTAAATTATTGATTGTGTGTTTGATTGATTGTATGGTTGATTGTATGATTGATTAATTGTATGAATAAATGGATGGATGTAATGATTGTATGATTGATCACTCAGAGATATCATATTTCATGTATGAACGGAGGGAAGGATGGATAGATGGATTGATTGTATCATTGTGTGATTGATTTTATGATTGACTGTATGATTGATTGAATGATTTTATGATTGATTAATTGTATGAATGATTGATCGTATGATTAATTGTATGAATGATTTCATGATTGATTAATTGTATGAATGATTGATCGTATGATTAATTGCATGAATGATTGTATGATTGTGTGATTGATTATATGATTGAGTGATTTCATAATTCATTTAGTAATTGTATGATTGATTGATTGTATGATTGAATGAATGGACGGATGGATGATTGTATGTAAGTATGGATGGATTGATTGCATGATTGTATAATTGATTGATTGTATGATAATTATTCTTAATGGTTAGAGGGGGTGATTTCTAATATACTAAATAAACATACCTTTTTCTCAACGACTTCGGATTTCTGACTCCAAAAATATAGGGGTGTCTGTCATCTGGGAAAAATGGTCAGGAGAGCAGTACGAAGTCTGGAACATTAAATGTTAATTTCACTTTTTGCGTATTTTGCCATATTTCGGGAACTTTTTAAGCGAATTGAAAAATGTGCACACACTTATAAAATTTGTTTATTCAAAGATAATTCTATGAAAAATTAATTTTAGTATATAATAATGATTTTTTATTATTCCATTTAATAAAGTCAAAATTTTTTTTAATTATAAAGCACATCATTTTTTACGTCATTTTGAAGTATGTAATTTTACATGGCAATATACAAAATTTGAGCAAAATCGGTTGAATAGTTTCTGACAAATAGAATTTTAAAGAAGTATATTCAAAATTTGATTTGATTTGAACTATTCAACCATTTCGCTTAAATTTTATATTTTGTCACGCAAAATTACATACTTTAAAATGATGTAAAAAATTTTAGATCTTGTAATTCGAAATTTTTCGACTGTTATTAAATAACATAATAAAAAAATAAATGCTAAAATTTATTTATTTTTTGCCAAGAATTATCTTTGGCTAAAGGAATTTGACTAGTATGTGCAAAAAGTTTTCAATTCATTAAAAAAGTTCTCGAGATATGGCGAAATACGTTAAGGGGTCTAAACTTTAGACTACTCTCCTGACCAAGTTACGGGGACCATATTTAGCAGATTGGGTCTGCTAGATATTTTTGGGGTCTGAAATCCGAACTCCTGAAAAAAAAGGGTAAGTTTATTCAGACTTTAAGAAAAAAAAAAAAAAAAAAACGAAAGTACGATTTTATGTCTGATTTCGTAACTTCTAATATCGTCTGCACTAATTAATAAGTATATTGAGGTCCCTTAGAACCATTAAGAATGAGTCTTAGAACGTGAAGATCTGATCGTTAGATCAAAAGTAATTTAGTGTTGTTCGTCTTTTTTTCCGGCGCATCGTACGTCAGGGTGATAATTACGATAGAGCAATTTAATAAATTAAAAAAAATGAATTCACTTCTTACTTTGTTAGACGTTTTTGGCATTTTTTAGCGTTGAATGAACTGCAAATAATTCTATGCATAATTCTAAAAACTTTTTTTTTAAAATTTAGTGGTAGTCAAATGAATTTTGTTTCGGTAAAGAATATTATATGTATACTGGCTATCTTTTATTTTCTTCTAGGATGATTTTTCGAACTGGTAGTAATGTTACAACCGAATGTCATGCAGGAATATTTTGTATTTTTTTACAGTTTAACTTAAAATAGTTTATAATTACATATTTAATTTCTTTGAAGTGGTAGTCAAAATTATTTTAAATAATATTTTTAAAGTCAATAATTAAGCAGAGAAGCTTTGCGACAGTTTTAAATGTAAAAAAAA